GTCACATTCAACCTCAACAACAAGGCCTCGCCTGATAAACCTCGCAAACGACGATTTCATTTCATCGAAAGTGATTCGGACACAGACTGAACAATTCCTTGAACTGTTTTGCCGGACTTTAAACTTTTTGCGCCTTAAAGATGTGAAAATTTCATTTTATTTTATTGTTTTTATCGTAAGCGGTTGTTTTGACCGAACGCACAATGTCACCTGCAGGGTTTGAATAAATTATTTTTACACGTGATGCGCGCGTTTTTCTTCTGCATAATTATGATAAGCTACCTCGTATTTTTTCATGTACATTATTAATACGTAATCACAGGATTTTTCTCGTGCAATTTGGAATAAATAAGCACTTGTAAATTTTTTCAAAGACCACAAATAGCACTCGCCCTACGGGCTCATGTAACCTTGTTAGTCTTTGAAAAAATTAACTCGTGCTTATTTATTCCAAATTGCACTCGAAATCATGTGATTACCTATACAAATAGCATGGCAAAGTGAGATGTTAACAAGAACAAATAAAAAGAGAAAAAAAGTGAAGCTACTTAAGCTAAAAAGGGATAAAGGGACTGCAAAATGTGCTTACTAATTTCTTAATTCTGCGTTGCGTTGTGATGGAAATAGGACCGATGTACGGTAATTTAAAATACAAACAATTTTCCTTACGAGCATCACTCTGAGAAGAATCGGAGGTGAAGTTGTTGTCAAGAAATTTTCTTACAGTCATCGAAAATGTTGTAAGTGTAACCGTTACCATGTTAATTTTCACATCATCTTTTAAGGTCCTCCCTTCGCTCAGAGTATTAGATGTAAAAGCTGTCAAACTCAACCAAGACCTTTCCTCTAATAGGAGGCGATTAAATGAAGCAAGGAAGAGCGCCTGAGTTTTCATGGGCGTTCACTTCCAAATTTCAGCTTCACTTGCGAATCAGTATCAAGGTGATCTGACTCGTAAATACAACACAGTAAATTCTGGATGGGAATAGTCGTGAACGGCCTTCACAGCGGGGTTAACGGTCAATTCGCCACCACACAACTCGCCACCACTGAAAGTCAAATCGCCACCGCTGGCGATTTTCATTTAACGGTTAACATTCCAGAATTGAGAGGCTACCCATAACTTCTGAGTCCCTTTTCCTTTTCGCAATATACTGCTTTACCTTAGCTCTCGTTTAATGTAAGTTTCATACGAAAGGCTACACATATCGAAAAAGGCAAATCGCTACCGATGGTGTTTTGTGGTGCGTTTTTTGGTGGCGGGTATGTTGTGTTGGCAAACTAACAGGATACCCACAGCGGATTAAACCTTTGAATCCAAATATGGTCTGCAGGAAATACGACAGGGTACACATAACGGAAAAGGCAAATCGCCGCCAGTGGCGTTTTGTGGTGTGTTTTTCGGTGGCGAGTATGTTGTGTTGGCGAACTGACTGAGGATACCAACAGCAGACTTCAACCTTTGAATCCAAATTTTATCTGCGGGACTATGACTACTACTAGTTACTTCATCTGCATCACCAATTTTTATGCAACTGCCCCGTACCCGCGCTACTCATTAACGTCAAGCACCGATTGTCAAAAAGGGATTTCACTATATGTAATTATAACAGAGCAGAGTGTTTGAAGTAAATTCACTCCATTTCAGGCCAACATGATTCCTTAGGACTATTCAATCGGAACGAATTTTAGGACAACATGGATATAATCAATCTGCATACATGAAAAATATGATGTGACATGAATTGGTTTCTTTTGCATCGTCATCGAATCTGCTGCACTCAAGGCCACGCTCTTGTTATTAGGAAATGCATGTATTTTCTTATACATCTGGCTTCTTATGACAAAGTCATCTTACCTATCAACTCTTTCACCTAAGAGGTGGTAAAGCCGTAAATAACATCCCTATTCACCTTTGTTAGTTCATGTACTAATGTGAAGGTATTATCCAAATATCTATATCATAAAGAAAGTAGATCCCTGGCCAATGTCATCGCCCCCTCCTCGAGTTTCTCCATGTAAATCGAGGAATTGGAGGAATTTGAAGGGAAGGTAAGATGCCAGTTGCAAATTCTTACAATACTCTGACGGATGAAAACAAAGAAGCAAGAAAAACAAACACGTCAGATATTGGAGATTATCAAAGCCTAGTGTTGCGTTCTGTGAGGATCACTATATTGCTGAATCATGACAATTCATTCTGGACCCAGCTTCGACTTTACGACATGGTACAGGAAGAGCAACCAAAAAAATTTATTCTTCCGGAAAATGCAAACTGCTCGCTTATGGTTGCAGTTTTTATTTAGGGACGCCTTTTAACTATTTTGGGCATATACATCGAAATGCATGCTCATTCCACACTTTGAGTGTTCATTAGCTCACTGCAAATGCAATAACGACAACAATTTTTCCAGTGCTTCCTCAGCTAAAGTTTCTCAGCAATAGATATTTAGAATTTAAACAAAACTTAATTTTTTAGTATAAAGTGCGCAGTTATCCTAATTAAATCATTGTAATGTATATCGATATAAAAAGTAAATGGTCACCAATTAAACTACAGCAACAACTGCTTGCTTTACTACGACTTTTACTTTGCTTTATGGGCTGGGTACTTCCCTTGGTTGTTAGCTGCATAGTAACAGGAACATCAAGTTTTAAAATGTATATTTTCCAAGAGTGTGTAGAAGAAACTGTTTCCGCCTATGGTTATAAGAGTTTCCACAATTCTTGAGCCTAATCCATGCTTGCGTAAAGGATGTTATCATAATGTTGCATGTTGATGAGCTTCTGCAAGGAAAAATAAAGAGATAGTCGATTAGACGACTTCTAAATCAAAAGGTGACTAAGCCTTGCTTAAATTTATTACGAAATATTTCACCTGATGTTGATTTTCCATTGCCTTTAAATCGTTCCTGAGATTCTCAAACATTGGACGATCATCAGGGTTCTCTTGCCAGCAGTCTTGCATTATCTTGTAACTAGATAAAATTTTAAAAAACTTGGGTTTTGATGGTACGAATTTTACTGAAAGGCTCCTCACAACATAGTCTACACAATTACCTAAGCACGAAAGTTGGAACCCCTATGCTTAAGAAGTAGAAAAAAGTAGTGATCAATACATTGATATTTGATTTTTTTTAGGTCTGTAACCATTCTCATAGCTAAAGAGTTATAAAGGTTATGAAAAAATTCGAAACTTTACATATTAATTTCATGAACAATTAAATAAATGAATGCATCTATGGCCTTACAGGGAATCCTCCACGTGCCGTGGCTTAGGCATCCTGTAACCCTGAGTCAGTAAATCTGCCATTTTTCGTCCCTGAATCTTTGGATAAGGAGAGCCACCTAAAACGAGAGGTTAAACACGGAGACAGCGGATCGATCAAAAAGTGCGCTATCCATCTACAATACACTAAAAAACACGATTATCTGACATACCTATGGTGAATATTTCGTAAAGCACAATTCCAAAACTCCATCTAAGTAAAGAAAATGTCACCAGGCTTCATTGTAAGTTCATAAATACAGGTATAATTATATCATAGGCCAAAGATGTTTATATTTGAAATATTTTTTTTCATTCTTCAAAACTGTTTATCACCGTATTAGATCCACTTACACATCACTTTTCGTCGTATATCGTCCGTATAACAGCGCTTCACAAGCTGTCCATTTCACCGGCAGTCTTCCCTATTAAAACATGTTGAAAGGAAATGTTGAAGAGAAAGAGCAATGAATCTTCATTTTTTAATACCCGCAGACTTTCTGGCGATGATGTACTGTGAAAAATTACTGGGAAACAAAGTGACAAGAGATTGAGATAGCATATATCAATACTGATAGATAACGATATTAGCCAAACACGCAACATATCGAGGTATTGAAACCAGAAACCTTTGATTTCTTTTCGTAGAAGTTTTCCTGGCATACGTCTCGTGCCATTCCAAAATCGGTTACCTTACATCGTTCTCGCTCTCCAACCAAGACGTTCCGGGCCGCAAGGTCGCGGTGAATAATCTGTCGAACATTATACAAGGCATTAATGAATCATTAAAAAGCGTCCACGGAATATCATGTCCATCCTCGTCTAATCATTGATTTCGAGCCTTAGAGGACAGGGGCCGTTTTGATATGCGAGATTTAATACTCTCCGAGTTGCGTCCAAGACAAAACACTTTGTTTTGGAAAGATAAACTTAAAATTTTATTATTTTATCAAACTTATATAGAATCTTTCACTGTGTGAATATCATCAACCTTGAAAAATTAAACAGAAACGGCTTTATTAAAAACTGGAGAGCTTTCTTGCAAATCTTTCTGTCTACAAACAGTAACTCAGTTTGCTCTAGTGAATAGCGTTTGAAGATAAAACTTTCTTGTTTGCAACGAGACAAAAGTGACAGATGCAATAGACGCTTTTGATCATTTCAAACAAAAAGCTCTATTTTCGCCGTAACTAAACCACATAGAAAAGATTCCCCAAAATATTGATAAAAGTTCATTTGCATCCAAGTATATTTTATCCACATGAAAATGTTGATGAGAATAGAAATGAATAAAGTATCCCTTACATCGATTGCCACCAAGACGGCAAAGTTATTCGTATACTGAAATCAACTTACATTTTTAGACGACAAATAGTGCATTCCATCAGCCACTTGCCAGGAAAACTTCATCAGTTGCTGGGAAGTCAAACTGGTCTGTGGCTTAATATCCGGGTCCTTGAAGTAATTATCTTCTAATTGTCGGCTCTTTCTCAAATAGCCCAGGAGATCTCCATACGGGACATACTCGATAAGTACAAGCAAAGGATCTAAAAAGATGTTTTTTTCAAGAAACAGAGCACTCGTCTACATTTTCACTTAACAGTGGTAATTACAGCGATGGAAAAACGGAAATAATTTATAATTGTGTCGAGGGTAATCAAATTTCATACCAGGATCCGCGGTAAACCGGATACATAAAATTAAGTTATAGGAATTAAAGGGAGTTCCTAGCGATAACAAGATAATAATAATCTTTTACCAGGTACATATGTAACAAACGTCTTTTTTTAATGCTGTTAGGATCAGCAATGACGAGATTACGTGTAGCAAGAGAGAAAGAAATATGAATTCAGTTAAAGTTCGGGTATTTAATTAAAATTATTACTTTTAATTATTTGTCGAAGTACATAATAATTACTTTAGTTGTCGGAGTGATACAAGCAGAAATAAACTAAGTAGTTTCATAAATTTTATTTTATGTACCTGATTCAGTGACGCATCCCAGCAACCTGATGACGTGAGGGTGAGGCTTGAGTTTCTTCATGACTTCAAGCTCTGACAGCAAATCTTTTCTCTCTGTGTCTGTGGCGTTACCTAAAGCAAAGGACGACTGTACAGTAACAGTTAAGCCTTATCCTGACAAAAACGCTATTAGGACAATGAATAGAGTACCTTTCAGCATTTTTATGGCAACTGTAATTGTCTCCTCTCTTCCTCGAAGGTTTGAAGCCTTTCCCTGAGCGACTTGACCAAAGGCACCTTTTCCAATAACCTTTTCAATCGTTACATTTTGTCTTTCCACTTCCCATGAGCGCGTTCCTGGATGCAGGGGAGCATATTCGTTTATTTCTAGATAACTTCGCGCTGGGCCTGTGGCAGGTTCATTCAGCGATCTAACTTCATTCAGGTCCATGTAATGTCCGGGACCATGATGCACCACGGTGCTCAGGTTCCCACTTCTACTTTCCAGTTCAAATCCCTCGTTCTATTTTTCAGCGAAAAAAAATTTACTCTTAGTCTTATCTGTTTTGTTCCCATACGGATTGGTAACGAGCAAGGAAGAGGTAAATCGTAATTCTTGAGGAAGTCTAATGCGAAATTTCATGAGAGCATTATCTAGTCCATGGTATTGTAGGTATTTTCATTTAAATTCACTCGTTTTACGACCAAAATAAGAAAAGTCATACGCAACCGTAACCTCTGTTATGACAATCGGATAAAATTTTGGAGAATTCTTAAATACTATGATATCATCCACTAGACTTAACCTCCTTTCCGTGAGCACTTGCAAATGAGTACTAAGAAGATTTGACTCGCAAATACAACAGCAATTTCTTAGAATAGTGGTAAAAGGTTGGCAAAGCGCACTTTAATAATACTTTAAGTCCAAATTTAATCTGTGTGGTATACGATAGACTGCTATAAATTCATCTTCCTTTTGTTACTTCTTATGTGTCGCCATTTTTATTGAACTGCCTCACGATATTGAGGTCCCTAGGGCCTAGAAAAAATTGTAGGTATGCGTGCTCTGCTTTATCTTCAAGCATTTAGTGACCAAACAGATATTTGCTGATCATCGCGGAGTAGGTTATTCGAACAAAGTGCACTCCATACTTACAAAGTAAGGCTCACGTGACTCTTTAATGCCTGTATCAAGTCTAAAAGAAAAGTAAAACACTATAAAAGTAGTTTCTAGGAAAATGACAAAACCTCACAAACAAAATATTTCTTTGTTTTTTTTTTGTTTTTTTTTGTTTTGTAACATACCAACTGACACATGTTGGTTTCTCATGCAACGCAACAACATCAAATCTGCTTCACTCAGTTTTTTTTTCTCTCACTGCTGCGTTTTTATTTAACTATATGGCACCAAACAAACTTCTCCTAACGACAGAAACTTCACACAGCTATAAATACGACCAAAGCCTGCTTTCTACCAATCGGATCTACGGATGCTTTATTAACTTTTAATATTAATGACATCTTACCGATCATCTTTCTCACCTAAGTGTGGAAAGAAGGAAAGAAATAATATCAGGTAATATCAAGAGAAAACAGTTGCATTTATTATTTTAAAATTCAAGAAGTCCTAATCAATTATGCTTCACGTATTTTCAGCCTCTTCGCTTGTGAGTATTTCCATTCAGTTATAGTAATATAATATATTGAACGAAAGTAAGCGTAACGCTGCTGGTTGGTGTCATGAATTGAAAGACTTTGCGAGATGATTATACTAAGCTGCAACTTGTCCAACTAATCGCTGTTTTTCCTTTCCTTTCTCTTTCTCAGTTTCCATTCTATTCTTCATCTGAATCTCTCTTTGTCAATCGTCCACAAAATCATAAATCTCGGTTACTAGTATCTCGACATGAGGGGACGCAAGCGGCCTCAACTGTAAGTACTTTTTAGAAATGCAAGGATATTATCCTAGCATTCCTAACATTCCGAGCTGCGCGAGAGTGTCAAAATCCGTGCGTACGTCACAGAAATGTCACTAGACCTCTAGACCTAAAGTACGCCAGATGAGGGCGAATAAACCGTGTGGATATATTTCTCTTTATAATCTACAATGTAACGCAAAGGAACCGGCCGAGGAATAAAGGCACTATTGATTGCATGTGAAACAAAAGCATTAGCTGATGACATTTTGATATCAGGTATTAATTCATTTATCTTCTCATATTTATTCGCCCTCATCTGGTGTACTTTAGGTCTAGTGACATTTCTGACATACGCACGGATTTTGACACTCCCGCGCAGCTCGGAATGTTAAGAATGCTAGGATAATATCCTAGCATTTCTAAAAAGTACTTAAAGTTGAGGCCGCTTGCGTCCCCTCATGCAGGGCATTTACCAACCGCGGATATAGTAATTAACTCAACTTACGTTGTCGCCTTTTCCAGGCAATGAAAATGATAATAATAGTGAGAATCAACGCGAGGACCCCAATAACTGAGCCATAAATAACATCCTTATTCACCTTTGCTGGTTCAGAAGGAACTGGACCAGGAACAGGTACTGAATCTTAAATCAATGACATACATTTCAGAGAAGCAATGCTTACTTAGCTGTTAAGTTAAATTACTTGAATTACTTAGAATGAAACTGATTTAAGCACAGCTATGCAGATGTATCTGCAATCTATAACAGTTAAAGAACTCATAAAATGTCGCTGAAGTTTGCTTTGGCCTTGTAATCAAATAATGCTTTACGGTGCACACCCACTTTTCAAGAACATCACAAAGTTGTTTGTCACACGAGCTTAAATTCAAAAGCATAGCTTCCAGTAGTTACCACCACAGTGGTAATGTATCTGTAGTAAAAATTCGCAGGTCACAGACCCAATCTCCATTAGGTGCACTCGAAATTACCATCGTAGAAATTTTTATACACACCTGGGATAGTTGATCCTACAGAAAAAGTATCTACTTTTAGGTTACCAAGGCTTCCATTGTTAATTGCATCTAGAAGCAATGATTCTACTTCACTTTCTCCAACAGACTCGTTAAATGTGAGCGATATGTCTGCGATAACACTTCCCTCTCTATAAAAAGATGAGAAAAGTAAATCCAAGCATTTTCAAATTTAATGCTTTTTAAAACATTCTTAATTTTTCTGGTTGAGATACTTCTAATCCTACTAAGGAGTATCTCAAACAGAATCATGAAAATTAAAATCAGAGTAAAGTTAGTGCATTTTGTTATCGATGAATGATGATACCTCAGGTGCGTTACATTAATTTCTCTGACGCCGGAACCTTTGAATTCTTCATCCACCTAAAAAGCAACGACATTCAAATCATAAGTCAGTATGACAGAGAAAGGATGAGGATCTATCACAACAAACAGTGGAGATAAGCCTCTTAGCGTACAAAAGTACACAAGGATGTTTTGACTTGTAAATTAAAATTTAGTTAGAGGAAAATGTTTTCATTCTGTACGTAAGAGACTCTTCACTTTATGCTACTTTGGTCTATACATGTCCTTGAAAAGAAAAAGGGGTTTTATTTCCCTGGTGATATTAAGATCAATTGGGTTAACGAAAGCTTTTCTATACAGAGCAAAGAGGGACTAGGATAACTTTCTTCCTTCTGTTCCTTCTGTTTGCGTGATTTAAAAAGAAAAAGAAAAAAAGATAGAAAATACTTGATTTCTTATTGACTTTTTATTTGATTAAGTAGAAAGCACCTTCTTAAAATTATAACACCAATGACTTACCGAACTTTTAATTGTTCCAACAAACAGTTGTGTATATGAGTCAGACAAGTCTGTAAGTTCTTCTATCCACTTTATATTGCTTATTTTAAGGCTGATCATGATAACAATTGCCACTGCATCTTTTGTAGCAAATGAAACAGAAGTGTAGACTTAATTAGCCTAAAGATGTGGCTTGTGACATATCAATATTCATTACCTACTATAAAATAATGCAGCGAAATTATAACAAAGAAAAAGTGGCTCCCTCATACCACACTGGTAATTGGGTTTCTGGTATTTCATATTCCAGTAAAATTCTGACCTATCGGGTAACAATAAGTAACTAGCGAGCTTAAGCTCCTGGATTTTTGTGGGGCATTTACATGGTTCTCCTCCTCCTCAAGTCTTAAATCACTAACGTCTTGTCAACCAATGGGTCCAAAATATATGTCTACCTCGGCTCAACTTACCATTTTCTTTGCAATCTCTTCCTTTTCTACCTTTTGGACACAGGCATAAGTGTTTTCCAAATTCTCTGCACGTTCGTCCATTGGTACATTTAACAAGACAAGGGTTTCCTACACGCAGAAAAGTCATAAGACATTATTGAATAAATGAAATTCCAATGATGTTTTAGGCGAGAGATGCAAAAACCTTACTCCTAGAACTTTTCATACATTTTGTATTTGACAATCCTTTTATTTCAATTTTTGTCAGAAGTGTTTCAAAGTTCAAGATCCTAGCACTAAAAGCTGTATTGCATGTTTTACTTGTCACTTAGAATTGAAATTGCAGATAACATTTCCAACAGTACTTTTAAAAGATTTACTTCCGCGATATCATATCACCGTCGGGAAATCGAGGTCAGGAGAAGGAATTCTTGTCACTGCGCTGAGCATTATTTTATCATAGCAAATGTTGTTTTTCATCGTGGCTTTATAGATTTAAAGGTTTGATCGTTGGTCTCACGACATGTGTCAGGCTAATCAATCGTGTATTGATCGCGACGCTTCGACTGTTTTACTGCTACTCAGGCGAGAAGATTGAAATTTAGCGTGCAACAGGAGGGCGTTCTTTACAAAATCACCCGTAAATGGGGCAAAAGAATACATAGGAGAAACAGGTAGAGAGAATTAAATAGCATGCAAGAGATATACAGCTTGCTTGCTCTAAGAATTGGGCGGCTTTTTAGAACACGCCGTTGAAGCAGGACCTGTTCCTGTTTGGGACCAGGTTAGGTTTTATTGATCATGATTCTCACTGTTACACACGTAGGATTAAAGAAGCCATCCACATAAGACTTCATTCTAATAGCATCAATGGAGATGACGAAATCGAAATTCCTGATTGGATGGCATGGATGCGTACGATCAAAAAGCATAAAAGCCGATCAGTTGCAAAGCCGACCTATGAGGGAATAACATCTAACAGTCAGAATAATAATGAGTATTGAAATGACCAGTAAAAGCGCGCCAAAGCATACCAATAACAAATTAAGGTGCTATCACATAATGAAGAGTTATCACTAGGAAGAAAAATTGCCAATCATGAAGAACATGGCGAAAAGGATGATTTCCAATACAGATTCATTAACATGGTATGAAACTATGAACCCATAACTGTAAAGGTACAGTATATACTGTACGATAGTAAGGTTACGTGTACCGGGCAACTTGAACTGGACATGGATGCTTGCGGTCTTTGTTGCGTTACCACACTCATTGCTGGCTTCACATTTGTATTCACCAGCTTGACTTCTGTTAATGCTTGTAACCTCCAACACTTTACCATTGTGACGCTGGCCATTAGGTGTCACCCAAGACACCACTGAGGGAGGCATTCCAGATACACGACACCACAGGGTCACATTGTCACCTTCAGTTGCATTCTGGTCTTGAATTGCAGGTATGGATGAAGGCACTTAGATATGAAAAAAAAAAAAAGAGAATTATATACAGTGTATTTCTAGAGGTGTAGTGTTCAACCACAGTCAAACACAGATCGGATAAGTCCTGATCTTATTTCAAGCTGCACAAAATTTACGTCATGATCTAAATTGTAACTCTCTCTTCTCTCTATAACTTCATTTAAGAATTCAGTAAATCTAGCAAATGGGTTTATAAATGCAGTCATCAACTACGTAGGCTACATATATGTTATTTGCCGGCTAAGAGGTCCGTATGGTGAAAAACTGTGACCGACGTCTTGAAAATACTGCCCGTAGCCGTAGTCTGAGGGCAGCATTTCAAGACCGAGGTCACAGTTTTTCACCATACGGACCGACCCTCAGCCGGTAAATATATATTTTTTTTAAACTTGACGAAATTCTTTCCGAAAGAACCCGAATGATTTAGGGCTGTAAATACGGCAAGATCTTTCATAAACTGAACAATTTTTGAACGAGTAAATGGTAGTTAAAATAGAGGTGATGCAAATTAAAGAGAGATGCCTCACCGAAAAATTTTTATTTCCGTAACGACGAAGGTGATTTAAAAGGCCTCCAAACAAAATTTAAAACATTATTTTTACAAGTATCTGTCGCAATCTGACACCTGTCAACTAGGGAGCGCGTAAAAAAAAAAAAAGCGAAAAGAAAATTTGAAAAACAACGGAACTAGTTTGGCAATGATCTAACGGAAAGTATTATTCACTCTCATCGACGATTCATTCATGTACGAACATTTACCTCTGTTCATTAAGTAAACGGCGAGGAAAGTAATTGTGAGTAAATTCAAATTTTTTATTTTAAAGTTGTGAGAGTTTGTTCGTTGGTTTGCTGCAATGGCGTGTGTAAATCTGGTCTTTCCTCCACAAAAAATAAATTCGAATGGCACACTCCAACGAAACACACGGGGATTCAATGCGGCCTTCGCCCATTAAATTCCTTTAGTTTCTGTTGTGCAATTTACAGTACAAATGTCTAAATTGAACGGACTTGGGAAGACTCACCGAGAGTGTATATTTGTTGTAGAACTTAAGTTAAAACTTCGCTCGCTCTTTCACTGCGAACAAATCGTTTAAGAAAATTCCGATATTAAATGAATGAAAGCTCCATCGTTCAGTTTAACTGTAACCAAATACTTCACGTTCACGTTCTTCATGGACCGAGAACAAGAAATATTATTATTTTAGCATGCTTTGGTCCCACACACTAAATGGCGCAAAAAATGGATGAAAATCATTCTTTTTGATGAGCAAAATTTGATCAAAGGACTCTAGGTGACGTAGCTACACTAGAATGTATTAAAATAAGCGCAAGTAACAAGGTGATACCGGATCTGAGCTTGGCTGATATTATAACTACTGTTGAAAACTTGACACTTGATAAGGTGAATAACTTTGTACCCAGGCAACTGCATTCCTCACAGAAGACTGGCAGGGCGTATTTTGAAAAGAAGACCGGCAGGGTGCATTCAAAATATCGAAAGTGAGTGTATCATGAGACAAAAGGTAATGATTTTTTATTTTTTTACAGCTACAAAAGTGGTCCAGTTAGTATGAAAATGGGATGGAAATTATCTAAAAGGTCCGGAAAACACATGAAACATTTCTTAAAGAACAGATTACTGCCATAAAATTCACAGCAAGTGTTTTTAAATCTAGAGCATTGACATAGTTTAATACGAAGAGCAAGGCTTACCATTAAGAGTAACACTAACATCCGTACTAGCTGCTATTCCCAAACTGTTCTTAGCCACACATTTGTAGAAGAACACTCCTTCACTTGCCAATGTTTCGCTCCACATCCCTGAAAGGCTGACGTCTATAGCGGTGTCATTCTTAAACAGGTGGTATGACGTTACTGCTGGCTTAGCATCGGCTGAGCAGTTAAAGGTGATAGTATCACCCTGACATGCTTTGTAGTCGATCACAGAAGTTGTAAATAGCACATTCTCTGGTTGGTCTACGAGAGTTACAAAAAGATTACAATCATGAAATTAACATGGTTTGATGCTACTCTGGCTTAAAGATTTAATGAGTGTAACGGAGAAGTTACATGTACAACGATTTGAAGGAGCGTGGGCTGACTTGATATGCTAGGCTTCCAAACAATGGTGCTGGTGGTAACGTCGACTGGTGGTGATAATTTTTGACTTATCCAACCCAATTTTATGGTTGGTTAGGCATGTGTGCTCCGACAAAGCTGAATTTTTTTTTTTTTGCAAAAAAAGACCAGTTTTTGATGCTCTTTCATACGTGTACCTAACTGACGTTTGGTCAATCCGATATACTCGTGATCAACTGGCATCAATTCTACCCACGCTCCTTTAAATTGTGATGAAGGCGGCTTACTAACTGACGCCTATTTACACCTCGTCAAAAGAAAGGGAAGCTCCTTAGTGAGCATGTAAACGGAACTCTTGCTGCAGCGATTAGATCACCCCTGATGAAGACATTAAACACGAGTGTCAAAACGTGAGGTCTATGAATTGTAACTTCTCAGTTAAATTCATTATATCTTCAAACCAGAGTAGCATCAAACACCTGGCTGCCATGTTAACTTTGATATATCATATTAATGTAAAATTCCATTAATCCCAACTTGACACATGTTGGACTCATAAAACTATGAATGTTCATCATCAACTTTTCTTTACATCTTTGTACACGCGTCAAGGAAAAGTAATGAACAGGTGGCCTCATAAGAAAACCTCTTAGTGACTAATTTAGTTTCAAAACTTTAATACCCACAAGCATTCACCATTTGTAAATTCAATCTATAGATAATTACTTACACTGCACATCAATAGTTGCCATCTCTGTTGCATTGCCACACTCATTGCTGGCTTCACATTTGTATTTCCCAGCTTCAGTCCTGTTAATGTGGGTAACCTCCAACATATGTCCATAATGACGCTGACCACCAAGCTTAATCCAAGACACCTTTGGTTGAGGCATTCCAGATGCAGTACATGTCAAACTTAAATTGTCACCTTCGGTTACATTCTGATCTCGAATTGATTCTATATTTGAAGGCACTGAGGAAAAATACAAAATTAAATACTGTACCCAAACCTTTAGTCAGTAAATAAATATTTGTGTGAGCATTTCATTCATTAAACTTTACATTTATCGAACAAATTTACACCGAGATCTTAAAATACATGTATAGTCGCCGTTGCTGAGGTCACTTGTAACAATCTGGTTGAATGATTGTATCCATGAGGTTTCATAAATTTTGTCTCTTTTGGTCCAAAGCACTCATTGGAATGAAAAACAACTTAATTGGTATCATTGTTTTTTTAGATTGCTCAATTGAATGATTGTATCTGAGGCATCCGTCATTTTTGCATTCTTTGGTCCAAAGCAATTATCGTGAATGAAAACAATTTAATTGGTTTGATAGCTTTTTCAGGATGTCCCATTTATTTGATTAGGTGACTCGGGTAGCCATGGTGGAGCTAAATGTACGGAAATACGCACTACTAACAAGGGAAAGGATTTGACATCACATACTTTTTTTCCTTTTAATCAGGATCATTTGACAAGGACTAAGGCAATTCCCAAACGCGCTTATCCATATCTCTAAAAGCCCACTCCTCACTTTACACTGTATATGTTTTCAGTACACACTCACATAAACTAATTTATTCCACTATGTACAACGGCTAACCCGATTGTGTACATGAGTAAGCGTATGTAAGAGAACAGCTTCACAGCTTCAGTATATTGCAAAGTTAACTTTTTTCTATCAAACTCGTTTGACAAGAAAACAGATCATGTTCAAACGCTTTCCGCTCCTTATCACATCTTTAAAATTCCCACTCCTCGCTTGACTCTTTAAGAGTCCTCAGTATACAAACGAGCGAGTTTGTTCTAATATGCAGCGCAGCTAACAGCATGATGTAAAGTAATAAATCTGTGCAGAGAAAAAAGACTCACAACTTAACTAATCTGCAAAGTTAAGAGCTTACCATTCACTGTGACCATAACAAATGAACTGACTTCTGATCCTAAAGAGTTGTTGGCCATACATCTATACGTGAACACTCCTCTATTTGACACGTTCCTTGTCCACATTCCTGAAGGGTTTGTGTCCAAGATAGCAGTGTCATTCTCAAACAGCTGGTATGACGTCACTGATGGACTAGCATCAGCTGAGCAGTTAAAACCGATCATATCGCCCTTACATGCTTTGTTATCCATGACAGATGTTGTCAATTGCACATTCTCTGGTCTGTCTACAAGAGTTACACACAAATTTTGTCAAATATTGTAGGTTGTAGAAAGCTCACTGCAGTCCTTTTTTTATTATTTATATCTAAATTTGTATGGGCGCCAACAAAGTAATGAATAGAACAACATACTTTACAGCTCTGTATGATTTAAAACATTGAGTCGGTATTTAAATTTACATAAATCAGTGTAAAAATAAAACAAAAATTATGGGATAATTTTATAAAGTAGCAGAACAAGACTAAACATAATACGATAAAAGTCGTAAGATGAAGAGATTACTTTAAGATGATCCTTTGGTGTTTACATAAGAGAGGTCTGACTGTATTACAAATTACATGACTTAATCTGTGTAAAATTACCGATACCTTAATCCCAATTCATACAAAATCTGCATATGTACATTAAACATGTAATAATAGCCATCGTCAGAGTATGGAGTTACAAAACATGCAGATCAACGTAACTTTTAATGAAAAGGAACCTTCAAACTTACGTAGCACAATAATGTTTGCTGTCTCTGTTGCATTGCCACATTCATTACTGGCTTCACATTTGTATTCACCAGCTTGAGTCCTGTTAATGTTTGTAACCTTCAACTTGTATCCACTAACACGTTTACTATCAGGTGTTACCCAAGACACCATTGGTGGAGGAATTCCAGATACATTACACATAAGAGTTACATCGTGACCTTCAGTTACATTCTGATCTTGTGTTATTTGAATAATAGAAGAAGAAACTGCAAAATTTGAAAATGAGTACGGATGTAAGTAACAGCCGGCCACTGGCTCGCGGCCTTAAGCACATAGATCATAGCTTCCCTAATATAAATGTGCTTTTAGCCCTCCTCAACTCGATTGCCTTTTACAAATAAGAGCATAAGATTATGCATATATACACTCGATTGCAAAAACGTTGACACCCCAAAAGATGTTACCAACGAGCGATGAGACACAGCGGCTTTATAGATAAAATGTACGTGATAACCTTATTTACATAGCTGCATGTGGCAAATGATAGAAGCCGCCACCTTTTCATGAAAGACACGAATGATCATCAACAGTTTTGCAATGAGTTATGGGATGCCACTGAGCCAAAATTTCTAATAAGGCCGTTGAGTCTCATAACTCATGGATACTGCTTTTCAATTGTCAAAGTTTTTTTATAATCGAGTGTTTGTACACTCATGTAAATACTGTTTTTATGGGCGCAGTTTTTCAAATTGTTCTCAAACAAACATAATTTGGACTTTTTTGCTTACCATTCACGGTAACAGTAACACCCATGCTGTATTCCACTCCTAGAGAGGTATTGGCCACACATTTGTAAACAAAAATCCCTTCACTTTCCAAAATCTTCCACCACATCCCCGAGGCACTTGTGTTTAAAATGGCAGTTTCGTTCTCAAACAGCTGGTATGACGTCACTCCTGGATTAGCATTAGCTGAGCAATTAAAGCCGACGACTTTTCCCGTACATGCTTTGTCGTTCATGGTAGAACTTATTAACTGGACATTCTCAGGTTTGTCTGGGGACAAAAGACACAATTTGTAAATACAATTTCATTGGCCTTCGTAAGTTACATTTTACAAAGTAGCCAAGGAGTCTCTCTCTTTACCTGGCTGATGCCGAAGTTACGAATAAACAAGCCTCTCTAGCGAAAATGTTACAGAGAAGCAAATCGATATACTGTGACAAAGAAATACAAGAAACAGCATATAACAAAGTATAATTTATGCATGTACTTACACTGCACATCAATATTTGCTGTCTCTGTTGCATTGCCACACTCATTACTGGCTTCACATTTGTATTCACCAGCTTGACTCCTGTTAATGTGTGTAACCTCCAACATGTGTCCATTGTGACGCTGACCACCGGGCTTAATCCAAGATACTGTTGGTGTGGGGACTCCAGATACTTGACTTGACAGAGTCACATTGTGACCTTCAGTTATATTCTGATCTTGTGTTATTTGGGTGATCGAAGATGGTACTGTAAAAGAAAAGGGAAAATGTGGAAGGATGTTAAAAGTAGTCAGTGACCAGCTTGTACACTTTGACACCTGCATCAGTTCATTCCCAACATATAATGTACGTGTGATTCCCTTCGACTTAATTGTTAACTACAAACATCGAGGTAATTAAGATCATGCAAGTATCCACCAGATGGATAAATTGTAGAAACCTAAAAAACATTAGCGATTAATTATGAGACCCAACAGTATTATGCGTGCACATTTCCATAGTAACCACGATAAGTAGAGTAAGTAAGTAAGTAAAGTAGAGTAAGTTAGTAAGTAAGTAACTTTATTTCAACTCGGGTTGACGAGGCTGATTAGGCCCCAAGCAGTACATGCTAATATGCCGAGAAAAGTAAAATAAACCAACGCAAAATTGAAAAAATGACAAATGGCTAACTTTCTAATTACTTTAAGTAAGTAAACAATCTTAACTCTTAAAAATTAAAACAGTGAGTAGATCTTGTTAGACTATACATTACAAATGTAGCTCTCTTACAGAATTCCTAAATTCCTAGAACTGTCGTTGAGCGTAGTTCATCCGGTAAGGAATTCCACACTTTGGCACCAAATAGAGATGTAGACTTTGAGCCAAAGTTTGAAGTATTCTTACGTGGGATGAGGAGCTTGTTGGCGCCTCTTAAGTTTTTCACATTATTTCGTACGATAAACAAGTCGCATATATATTCCGGTGACATGCCATTTACAGCTTTAAAAATCAGCACAGCAATTTCCGGTAGTCGTCAATTCGACAAAGTTAAACCGTAGTTATCATTGCCATAAAGGGGCACCCGTTTGTTGTAGACACACTTAGAGCTCTCGCATTAAGCCTTTCCAGCTTCTGATTATCAGAACCTTTACAGTTGAGCCAAATAGCAGAACAGTAAGTGAAGTAAGACATCATGTAAGAGTTGTAGAGGCACATTTTCGAGGAGATTGATGGCATGTTCTCTAGTCTGATCAAAACGTCTGACTGCTTTCCAACTTTCTTATTAACCTTGGCAACGTGTTTGCTCAAATTTAGCGAGTTATCGATAGTTACACCTAAAAGATGCAAATGGTCTACGATTGTTACCTGCACATCATTGACACTAAAGGAAAGATCACTAAGAGAGCTTTTTGGAAGAATAATACATTTACATTTCTCGGGGCCGAGCACTAGCTTATTATCATCAAACCAATGACTCGCGACAGCGAGATCGCCATCGATTACGGACTTTACCACCTCAGGATCGCGATCGCTAACAAAAAACTTAGTTATCATCGGCGTAGTTGGACAAATCAGCACGATTAATAAAATAGAACAGATAGTTAAGAAAAATATTAAAAAGGAGGGGCCCTGAAACCGATCCCTAGGCTACACCCTTGGAGAAAACAACAACCTCCGAAGTAATATCTTCTATCCTCACGCGCTGGGACGTGTCTCTAAGGTAACTGTGTAAGAGGGCCAGGCTAAGTGGAAAAACGCCATGGGCAGCCAGCTTGGCAAGGACGGGGTCGCGCGATATCTTATCATAAGCTTTACTTAGATCCACAGAGACTGCGCCAACAAAACATTTGTTTTCGAGAGCATTCCTCCAGTCCTCAATCAAACTTAGAGGTACTCCCTCACAGCTGTAATTCCTTCTATACGCAGACAGGAACGGTGACAATATCGATCTAAAATAATCAGAGAGTTGGCGTGCTAGACACTTCTAAAAAACTTTATCCAGAGTAACTAGAATCGACGCTGGCCGGTAGTAAGATTTATTACGAGGATTGTCCTTTTTGAAGATGGGGCAGATTTCAACAAGCTTCCAACCAGCAGGCACAAAGTCAGAGTCAATGATCTTGTTGATAAGAACACATAGCGGATAGGCAAGAGCATCACCACCATCCCGCTATATTCTTGGCGGTATCTTGCCTTTTTCGATCAAGCGACCTAAGTATAAATTCGACTTCAAGTGGACTTAGAGAACGAAACTGAAAAGCTTCTCTCGCAGAGCAGTGTGTCTGTATGGCCGAGATACTTGGACGACTGGAGTTATCATTTTAACGCCCATGACTATCGATATCCTTCGGAAAGGATGAAAAATGTGCACTGAAAATTTGTGCAATTTCCAGTTTATTGACAATAAGACTGTCACCCTCTTTAAGATGGATGGAATCCCGGCTGATGTTTTTCTTTGAGTGCATGAAAGGCTTGACCGTTTGCCAAAATTTTTTGGGTTTACATTTGGCGTTTACGGCGGTGGTACGAAAATAGTCGGATACAGCCTTATGTCTCAATGAAGATGTGAGGTTTCGCTAGGTCTTGTATCTGTCCCAATCCAGCCGGTGCTTAAACTCGTTGTAAAGGCGCTTTAATTTATTGCGTTTCCTAATTGCCTCAAGTAACTCAGGTGTCCTAAATGGCACGTGTTCACGATTTTCTGTTTTACGTTTAATTGACGCGCGGTCGTTAAGAACATCACATAACTATTAACTCCAAGCCCAGTAGATGTCATCAATGTCTTCAATGCGACGTCAAATGGAGTCGAATGCAAGTCTTTGCGAAATCGCTTGGGATCGTAATTCTTAAAAAACGTCTTTCGACGGTTATAGGACAAGACCTAGGACAGTGTGACCTGCTGACAGCATAGACCAGGTGATAGTCACTTAAGCCCAAATCGAAAATGCTAAACGTTAAAAAAGACCGAGGTCTATTTGTCAGGATCACGTCAATAAGAGAACTAGACGTTGCAGTCACTCTAGTAGGCTCCCTGATCAAGTTGGTCGAGTTGTATTCATTCATTGAGTCCCGTAAGGTTCTTCCCTCCCTAAATCCCTTGTTCGGATGGGATATATCACAATTTAAATCACGTACGATTGCTAAGTTGTCATAACGCTTAGAGCCGTGAAAAGCATGGAGTTAAACTCCGTTCCCACAGATTTTTAGTTACATTTGGTGGCTCATACGTGTACAGAAACAGTGTCCATTTTGATGACCTCCCGGACTGTACTAGCAGAACAATAGATTCGATGTAATTGCCTTCCAAATGATTAATTCTTCGTGTAATAGGCCTCTTCTAATATAAACTATGAGACTTCCTCCAAATCGATTACGATCTTTACAGAACATCTTGTACCCTTTGATACAGAACTGTGAACTGGGGAAAGCTCCGTCTATCTTTGTCTCAGCAAGTATAAAAACATCAAAAACACCCTTGAGTATCATTGACTTCACTTTGAATCATTTAAAGCTAGCCACAAAATTCATATTTAGATATGCGATTCTTAAATTGCAGGATAAAGCGTTTTAAAATCGCACTGAGGTCAGAGACTTGCGCACTTAGAGCAACAGGAGATTCCTTCACATTACTAATGTCAGGAGCGTCAACTCTAACCTCTACATCGTCAAAAACATCAGAAAAAGGAAGCTCTTTCAAAAGTTGACAACTAAGGCACAGATGAATTGAGCCAGAGAGTGACAGGGAAAGACCTGAGCAAGACTTGAGTTGACTTGATGTTGCTTGGAGCGACTCTATGATTGTTAGTTAGCGTTTTGAAACGCACGGTGCGGTTTACTGAAGGTTTCTGCTTTTGCGAGGTCGAGGATTAGGACTGACGTCGCTGCTTCTTTGCAGTCTCTCTAATTGAAACGGCCAATTGAAAAGTAGCCTTGATTGTGTGTCTATGCCTAGTAACTAGATAATTTGTCCTACGGCAGGTGGTGAAACCAAAGAGCCGGATAGCGATGAAGCGTGATATGGTTAAAATTCGTCCTTGCCATGTGCTATCGGTGTTGAAACAACCCTCCGAGTCGCCCTGAGACGTTAACTGATAACTTGGCGAAAATTGAATATCGTTAGGTAGAGTCACGACGCCAGAAAGAAAAAAAAACGAAATAAAAATGGAGGCCGAAGATAACACACGATTATTCACCATAACGGTCAGCGGTTACAATGCTACATGTGGTAGATGTTTGAGGCCAACAACCCTTTCCTGAGAGAAAAGGCTTATCATAAACAGCAATTTACTATGAATATTATAATGGGATGCAACTTTGCAAACATTTCCCATAAAGTTTAAGTTCACATGTAGTCTCATCATTCATGAATCATCCTCCTTAGGTGTTCATGTTTTTCTACAACAGAGAGTGTGTACACTCATGAACGTGCGCTGCATGTGTGTATGGCTTATGGGAAGGTTTAAACTAGCACTAGTTTGGGTTAACATCTATCTATCTATCTAATATCTATTGCTCTAACGAAGGGCTAACGCTCGAAACGTCAGCTTTTTTACCCTTTTTCAACTTTCTACGTTTTCAGCTCAGTTGTTAACATTAAATTACCTGCTATACTCTCCCACCGACGCAGCACCACAGTTTCTTTAGAAACTTACCCCCTTTACTAGTTTGGGTTAGTTTGCTTACCATTCGCAGCGACAGTAACACTCATGCTGTATTCTGATCCTATAGAGTTATTGGTCACGCATTTGTAGACAAACACTCCTGCACTTTCCAAAGTCTTTCTCCACATCCCCGAGGCACTTGTGTTTAAAATGGCAGTTTCGTTCTCAAAGAGCTGGTATGACGTCACTCCTGGATTAGCGTAAACAGAGCAGTTAAAGCTGATGACTTCTCCCGTACATGCTTTGTCGTCCATGGCAGAACTCATTAAGTGAACATTCTCTGGTTTGTCTAGGATAGAAGGAAGAAACAATTAGGTGTCACTCAGAGTTCTTCAAAATCGTTGGGGAAAATGTTTTATCACATACACTGCAGATTTTTTCAACCATTTCGAGCCCTTGGGAAAGCTGTAAATTTACAATAACTTTTACGTGTTTGATATTGCCAATCAGCTGCCAATACATCACTTGCCTTTCGCCCCATTCTCTCAGGTAATTAAATAACTGACAAAGCATTCATAATTCTCAATCCAAGGTTGTGCCTCGAATTTTTTTAATTATGGTTGCTAACCAAACTGAGATGTTAAGATAAGAAACAAAATACTGCATGGCTTCTTATGGTTATTAAAATTTTTCTTCTCATTTGGACCTCGATATATCAAGTTAAACACTTCAAAAGAAATTCTAAATCTAGTGTTATTCTCTACTCAATTTCCAATGTAGAAAAACAATGCAGCCTCCCAAGTGTTTCTTACTCTTTATTAATTTCAAAACAAGCTTAACAAAAGTGAGAGGAATACCTCACAGCTCGGGAATCTAGCAACTCACACTTAGCAAGGAATGGAAAGTGGGCTACAAGATGAACACTCTAGACCTTAATACATATTTTTACTTGATGATTATTAAATAAATAATAATAATAATCACTTACAGAGCACAGTGAGGAAAGTGCTGGCAAAGCTATTTCCACAGTCATTTGTAGCTTCACATTTGTATTCACCAGCATTTTTCCTGCTGATGTTTGTAAGATAACGCACGACTCCACTAGACTGACTACGGCTGCTTACTTCTGTCCATGTTACAGTCAGCACAGGACCTCCAGAAACATTACAGGTTAAATTCCTGTTTTCACCCTCAATCACTGTGATGTTCTCCAATGGATAAACTATAGAGGGCACTGAGCAGAAAAAAAGATAACAAAAGATTACAAGTGTAAAACTACATGTTTATGAACCTAGACACTCGTCAAATTTTCATTTTTCTTAATGCATTTGCATAACCCAAAAGCATTCCTATTATAAATAAGGAGATTGTACTGTTTTAGCTCGTCTCATAAGCAGAAAGTTATTCTTTATGGATTCACGGTTAGTACTTTTACTTGTACATCATTAGATCCAGTAAAAAACAGAGAAATGAATTCAAAGTAAATGTAATATCAAAATTTGTGCCTATGACTTTTGAGATAACATGTAATTTTTCCAAGGACTAAGACATGTTTTAATTTCTCTTTCCTTCATCAGGGTTTTCAGTAAGTACTGGCTTCCAGCTAAATATACTGGCTAAGAAAAATGTGACTTCTAGTAAGTCATGTACAAGCGCTGAGATTGGGAAAGCTGTGCGCTATGGGAATATAGCATGCAAATAGAGGAAATGGCATATAATTAAGAAAAACCACTAAAACAGGGCCTAAGCTGCGCCCGAGTTATCGTGAGTGAAAATAAATGTATCTTTTGGACTAAAATTTCAACAAAAATCACCAATAGGGCACTTCCGACTTCTCGCGGTTCAATGATCTAGAGCCAAAATTACCGCGCAAAAACGAGGCTAAGTGTGAAGTCGCTCTCATCCGTGTTTATAATTAAGTACCGCGGTGGTGAAAATGAGAGAAAATTTGTCAAAATTCATTGTGGGAGGGTGAAAAATTATTTGTGTGAGAGAGGCACTCAGCTAAGTAATGGCAGCAAAGGGAAAAAAAGAGAACTTTTCGATTTATGCCAGAAAGCTGCAACAATGAAGCAGATCAAAATAGCCTTCTGCCAAAGAATACAAAAGGCTGTTCAAGGAGAAATTAAAAACAAGTGAGGGCAAATTTCCAGTCCAAAAAATTTTTATTTCTTGGACTTACCATCTCCCATTTCTCTCTCATTTTAACCACTACTGCGCTTCATTCTTTACACAGTTGACTTCACACTTAGCCTCGTCCTCGCCCCGTAATTTCGGCACCAGATCACTGAACGGCAAGAACTCAGATGTAGCAACCACCAGATAAAGAAAAAGAAGAACATGAAAAATTTCTTGATTGTTGGTCCAATTCTCTTTTCCTCTCCTACAGTTCCATAATTAAAGTCTAACCATTAACTTTGCATTTGGAAGTTTGGTGATGAACTTTAAAGTGAGCCGAGACGTTATTTTCAATATGGAAGTTTTTGCATATAAATATTTCAGCTCACTTCGAATGAGAGACGTTTCTCAGCTGAGCGATACACTGAGATTCTTCACTCTCTTTCCCTTAATCGACCAGCAAGCATACTTGTCAATTTGGCAAATAAAAGTGTTGCACACGTACAGTATCATTAGACTCACTAGAATTTCATGTAGCATAATATGGAATGTGAATGGGGTGACCATATTTTTTTCCTTTTTTAATGACGACCATTTTTCAATTAGAGCCCTGAATAGGATGGAGTCTAGACAGTCATCTATTTACAGTTAAAGAAACAGGATTGTTTCAACAGAGTAAGAATACAAAAGCCTTCATAAGACAAAACTGTAAAGTGCAGTGATTGCTCTCCACCTGAAGTGGACAGGTGTTGAGTTTTTTTACTTACATGTGACACCTACATGTACTGATGTTAAACTATATTTTCATTATAATGTAAACTACAAGAACCTGTGGAACTAATACACAATATCAAAAACAACCTCACCAACAAAAACACCCATGTGTCGTTGACACTTGAAGTTAAATACGCAATACACAACATTACGGGGAAAATGGTATTAAAGCATCAGCCCCTACACCAATATTCATTTACGATATGTAGGCTGATGGCTGTAACAGGTAACAACTACCTTCTAACACTGTACCTTTTACTGTAACATTTACAGTCTTCTCAGCTGTACCAACAGTGTTATTAGCCACACATCTGTAGCTTAAGTCTCCTCCTCTTAAATCTTTTCTTATCCATACCCCAGCTGAGCTGTTTCCATCATTAACTGATCTTTCATTCTCAAATAGTTGATAAGTATGCACTGCAGGTTTACCATCTGCTGAGCAGGTGATACTGATAGCATCACCTTTACAAACAACCGAGTCATTCACCATTAACTTGACATTCTCTGGTATATCTAAAGAGAGGAAAACAACAATATTTGATCATGCATCGGTATCAGAGCATGTGACGTTGTACATCATGTCGCAAGAGCCAAACATTTTTCAGTCTAGTGCAGTGCCATAGATGACTAATTTCTTCTCCTTTCCTTTCTTTTTTCCCTTTTTTTTTTTTTATTCTGACTTGCAGCTTTTTTAAATATCATTTATTCTCCCTGAATCTAACAAAAGCCTATGCTGAGCTGTATGGCTTTTTAAGGCCCTGCTCGCATCATCACAACGTATTTCAATAAAAGGGCCCACATGACTATACCACTCATACAAAAGCAAATCTTTACTTATATTTTTTGTTTGTGGTTGATTTACACTTTTTTTCCATTTTGGAGTTTTATTTTGCATTATTTTTACCTACTATGACAATTAATCCTACATTCTATGACAAATAAAAACCAACCACAGGTATAATATACAGTTATCTACTTACAATTAACTTCTACTTTCACTGTGCGATTTGGTGCAGTTCCTATTCCATTATATGCTGTACAACGATATTTTCCTCTGTTATTTCTGTTGGTTCCAAGGACAAATTGATTCCCAGTTCCCAGTACACCACTGTCACTGCCATGAGCATATACTTTGGTCCAGGTGATGTTTGGTGTTGGTTCACCATCTGCGATACACTCTAATGTAACACTTGGGTCACCTTCCACAACAACTACATCACTACTAAAGCTATTGAATTCTGGTGGATCTGTTCAAGAATTAAAGACAAACAAACATCTTTGCACACTATCCGCGATATACCTCAATGTGGCACTTGGGCCACCTTCAACAACAACTACATCTCTACTGATTAAATTGAACTTTAGTGGATCTGTTCAGGAGCGACAGCAGTGATAAATTGTCCCAAATTCAAAATTTGTAAAATTGAACCAATCTTCCCCAAAACTCAGATAATAAAATCATAGTCGAAAATTATACCAAAAAGTCAAGAAGCTATGCTAACGCATTATTATGTCGTCTGAATGGTCGCCATCCTAAATATCTGAACAATTACCGCTTTTAATTCCTTGATCTTTGCAATTGTACTAATTGCAGGTTATTCGCGTATAAGACTGGGGTTTGTGCTGCTGTAAGAATTCTAGGTTGACTATGATAAAGACAGTACTTCCGTGAGGGGTAAGGCGAGGAAAAAGATTTCCTTGAATTCACACTCTCTTTTCTTGAATCTGCTCTTTCAAGCACGATTACACGAAATTACACAAAAAAACAGCTTCCTAAATATTGACGTTTTTCTCATTTGAACACTGTTCCACATCGAATTAAGGGAGTAAGTTTCTAAAGAAACGGTGGTGTTGCGTCGGTGGGAGAGATTAACAGGGAAATTTTGTGTTATCAACTGAGTTGAAAAAAGGGAAAGGGTGCAAACAGCCATATGCTGTTTAGAATGATTAAGGAGATTAAAGCGACTGATTTGGATGTGTCCTTGTCGTTTATTTCTACGTCGGGAAGGTATTCTCGGAATCGGTAACCTAGTCGTCTTCCTGTTTCACCAATTTATAACTTATTGCAATAAGTGCAAGTTATCCAGTTTATAACATTGGCCGAGGTGCACGTAAAGTTAAAAGTGATCTTAATGGATCTCTTGGGTCCCGACAATTCCTCTACGTTATGGAAAAAAAGGACAAGTTTTGAACGAGCGTGAACGAGCTTAATTGAAGTTCCAGATTGATCATCGGTTTGAAATGAACTTATGACCAAAAAGTTGCCTATGTTTTCGTCAAGTTTGAATGAAATTAGTGGAGATTGCGAAAAGATAGCATATCAGTGCTATATTCCTAAGCTACCCGGGAAACAGCAGCAGTTTGAAATGTTGTCCAATACACCCAAACTGAATGCGATGGACGAAGGCCATGAACAACCAGACTCACCGGAAGTCAGTTCGTGAGAGACTTATTAAATATACAGCAAAGTATAAAGTCGCGGACCGGGTGGAAATACATGTAGGCAAACGGCAAGACTCCATCAGATCCGATGGAGACGGGCTGCCGTGGCAAGAGTATATCGGCGTGTTAGTTCACGAGAGACTTAGGAAATATACCGCAAAGTAAAGTAGTCATAGTGGTGGAAAATGTCGGCAAACGGACTACATCGGATCCGATGGAGACGGATTGCCGTGGCAAGAATCCATCGGACTCGCCGCGTGTCAGTTCGCGATAGTCTTAGAAAATTTACAGCAAGGTAGAACAGAGGAGGTGGTGGAAAATGTCAGCTAACGGACTCCATCGGATCCGACGGAGACGGGTCGCCGTGGAAAGAGTCCAACGGACTCGCCGCATTTCATTGCGCAAGAGACTTACAGACTTGCTCAGAGAAGGAGGTGGAAAATGTCGGCGAACGGACTCCATCGGATCCGATGGAGATGAGTTGTTTTGATAAGACCTCATCGGACGCGCCGCTTGTCAGCTTGCGAGACACTTAGAAAATATTATGGCAACGTCGAGCATGTGGAGGGGCTGAAAAATGTCGGCAAACGGACTCCATCGGAACAGCGAATGTTTTTCGCCTCATGGTTTTAAGAACGACCTATATTTTATTGTAGCGCACTTGTATCGCCTCATGGCTGAAATAACGACGTATTTTTTACATGTAGCGTTTGTCTCGCCTCATGGCTTTAAGAACGACGAATGTTACACGTGTAGCGCGCCTGTTTCGCCTCATGGCTATAAAAACGACGTACATTTTATGTGCAGCGCGTTTGTCTCGCCTGATGGCTTAAAGAACGACGAATATCATATCTGTAGCGCCTCGTTTCGCGTCATGGCTTTAAAAACGACGAATGTTACATGTGTAGCGCGCTTGTTTCGCCTCATGGCTGAAATATATTTTCTGTCTCTCGCGAACTGACCTCCGGGGGGTCCGATCGACTCTTTCCAGGACGAACTGTCTCCATCGGATCCGATCAAGTCTGTTTGCCAAGATCTTCAACCCCCCTCGCTCCTGTTAACCTCTTACTTCCGGTACCACTGATCAAGAGCCTCACGCCTATTTCCGGTTCCAGTCAAAATCGGACTCAATCCGCCTCCTGGTGAAGACAACCTGACTCAGGCCGGGCTTCATTGGACATGTATGGCAGCTTGCATCAAGAATAAATGAAATGAAATATCCAACAACGAAACGAAAATTCACCTTTACAGAATGATTTCAAAATTTTTCAACAAATGGAACCAGTAGAGAGAATATCCATGAAACTTTTGATGGTTTACTTACACTGTACTTGAACAGTCACTCTGTCACTAGTAGACTGGAAATTTTTGTTGGTCAAGTCAATTTCGTATCCTCCACTCTCATTTCTCTGCAATGCAAAGATTGTAATTTCTGCTCGTGTAGTATTGATGTTTTCTTGAATGCGACTCTGGTAACGACTGTCTAAAACCACTGCGTCGAGGTTTATGTCATGTTTGACCAGAATAGTGGTGGGAGAGCTGCCAGAGAACTGAAAGACAAGTCTGTCAAACGTTCCACTAAGGTTGTACTGCCACACAAAGGTGATATTGTTGCCTTCCAAAACATAGAACGGATCTGGAGGAGTTGCTGTAAATGATGGTCTTGATTCTACAAAGAGAAAGAAAATAAATATTATGTAAACATCACAGATCTTTTAACCAGTTAAGTAAAAGATCCGACAGTCCAGCGCGAAGCTGTTTTTCGCGCCAAGGGAAACGCTCGCTCAGGGAAGATGAGCTCGTGTACCTACCTGCCCTATGAATAAACAAGACCAAATATAAGAATATAGACACATTAGATATGACTGGCAACATTGCAATTTCCGCGCCGTGAAGGGGAACCATGCTTCTAGATGCGACGGTAGGGAAGTGAAGGAATAATATGCAAACGTTCTATTTAGGGGTCCATGAACTGTAAACCAGCGGCTACATCGCGTTTGCTTCTTCGGCCTTCACCGCTTCACGTCTCATCACCCATATATTAAATATACGATATATTAAAGACTTTCCAGAGCCAGTTGGTAACGAAACGAAGACATCGTTACCTTCAAAAAACATATTCTTGAAATATCTCTATTCCAAAAGACGCGATCGCTTTTGTCTGAAAAATTAACCATGAGAGCGTTCTGTTCACCAGTTCGTAAATATGAACGTTATCCCTTCGTCAGAGCGATTGGAGGAATCGTGGGTTGTGTGTGGGTTTATATGCAGTAAATGAAGCAGAGCTATTGGTAGGAATATGTTGACGAGAAAACAAGAATAAATTAGTTGAATGAAAAGCGCTCGTTGATACCGTGGGGATTAAGAGTGCCGATTTGGATGATAAATTTTTGTTATCGTGTTTTGGGGCTTTCCGAACTTCCTAGATGTAGGGAAAGGCCGCAAACTGCCATGTGTTGTGTTCAATGATTAGGGAGATTAAAGTGTCTAGCGACTGATTTGGATGCGTCCTTGTCATTTCTCTCTACGTCGCTAAGGTGTTCTCGGAGTCGGTCACCTAGTCGTCTTCCTGTTTCACCAATGTAGAACTTATCGCAATAAGTACTAGTTATGCAGTAAATGACATTGGCGGAGGTACACGTAGAGTGATCAGTGATCTTAATGGATCTCTTGGGTCCCGACATTTTCCCTACAAAGGAAAAGCTTTGCATCGTCGGTGAGCAAGCGCATTTGAAAGTTCCAGACTGGTCATTGGTTTGGAGTGAACTTGTGACCAAAAATTTGCCTATGTTTTTGTCACGTTTGAATTAAATTATTGGGGGTTGCAAAAAGATAGTACCCGTCTCTGAATCGTTCTTAAGTAATTTAAAGATTTTAAGAATGATGAGTTTAACTGCGTGGTTTAGAGAGTGAAATTTGAGGGTGAATGGAATGCGATCAGTTTTCCTTCTCACCCGTTTGTAGTGCTGACTGTCGATCAATTTGTTGGGCACGGTGGCGGCCTGCTTAAACGGTATGGTATTCTTGACGTGTGATGGATGTGAGGATGAACACAAAAAGTAACTATGTGAATATGTTGGTTTATAGTAAACACTAGTGCATAAATCGTTGCCTTCAATTGAAATTTTAATGTCTAGAAAAGCCAAAGAAGTGTCGGAAATTTCATACCTTTTTCATACCAAGAATTCCATACCTTTTTCACAGTTTCTCAGACTTCATCGTTTATGTAGTGACGACTCTGATTTTCCCGAAAAATCAGAGGCAACGAGCCAGTTTTTCGATAAACTGGTTAAGTGGGCCACCACCATGCCGAACAAATTGGTTTCTGTTTTGGTTTTTTCCGGGGGGAGATAGATTACCCCCCGGTTTTTCTTGGTTATCACCAAGGAAATCGCTTCAAAATAGGTAAAATGTATGAAGCTCTCACTGCGATGGTATTTAACCGACTGCTCCGAGGGTTTGCATACACATTATTACATCCTTAGTAAATGTACGACGCAAGTATCAGTAAATGGCTGTATTTTTAGACTTCTCGATTCATCCAAATGACATCTTTGAGGTTAAATATCTCCCCTTGCCAGAGAGCTACAACACTAGTTTTAATTCCCTTTTATAATCCATCATTTCATCTCTGAAAACCATCAAAAAAATCTTTGGGCACTACCGTATTTTTGTCTCGGATGCCTTTTAAAACCCGCGACCGTCACAAGCTTTTCTCAACTACGCCTATCACGCAATTCTGGCTCTAGCCGGTCACTCTATCGTATAGTATCGAATTTTATCAAGCGCTCTATTGCTAAATGTAAATCTACATCTCTCTCGATCGAGTGTTGCCGGTGTTTAATTGCGTTGGCTGATTTTTTGTAAAAAACGTTGATGGCTTGAGGGCTCTTTGGGGATCTTTTGTCGGCTGATAAATAGCAGTAAATATTAGCCCATCACGAATCTAACCTGACCTACATTTAAGTATGCTGTATGTTCAAGCTTCTATCATGTTGAGAAAAGATGATGAAAATTTTAAAATATTGCACTAAAAGTCTTTAAATGAGATTATTTATGTCAATTAAAAAGCAACGCGTTTACTTCGCAGCGTTTGTTTGATTTCGTTACGCATCTCTCTTAGCAAATATATTACGTAAAGTAAAGGAAAATACAGTCTCCACCAAACGATCATGCCAAGATATGTATGGAATTTTCGGGTTCTTACGTACGTCGATAATTGCGGAGGAACCTTCAATAAAAGACAAAATGAAACTGTCTCTGGAGTACTTTGATTCTGAAGCCTCAATCAAATAACATGAGATTGGTTCTTTTAAGATCCCCCCCCTTCCCGGCCAAAATTGCCTTCAAATGCCCACCTGCATATGATTTTTCACTAAAGAATACTTTGTGTGATCAACGAATGTTGAAGAATATGGCAAAGTCACCTGTTAGTTTTGTTGCTGCTCTTGGTTTACTTCGCTTATAAGCATGTTTCTCGGATGCGAAATTTTTCTTTCTAAGCCATCGCTCACGAAAGCGGATTCTTTACCTTACGAGTGTTCTTTTGGAAATACTGGACACCTTCGGTTCCATTCAAACGTTTGGTTATGACAAATTGATTTACCATACATCTCTTTACTCTGTGATTTTAATTTTAATTCATTAAATAATATGATTTCACCAACACATTTTAACCGACGCCATTCAAAGTGCTCTTGACGCGCTGCTCTTTCAGTGCTTTTTTAGTGAACTGGATCCCACGGGCCATAAATATCAGAGACAAAAATGTGGGACAAAAATTTGACGCTAGACAAAGTTTTTACAAATTGGACTGTAACGCAGGTTTTATGACGTCATGGTATAGAAAGAACTGTCTATGGCCGGACTGTCGAAAGTCTGGCATTTCTGCTTCTGAGTTTTGTTCTTTTTCCTCGTATGCCACCTTTCCCGTGTGTCATTTTCCCTCTTGAGCATTTTGACGGTAAAACACCCTTTTCAGCGGGCTGCACAGTGAAATACGGTCCGCTAAATAGACCATTCATAGCGAGTGAACAAACTGAAGCTCCATATTAACAGAGAGATATGATAATTGAAAAGGGCCCTCGAAGGCTTAAAAGTTCGAAATCCCCGTCATATTTTCGTTTGACGCCTAAAATAAATATGCAGAGGCATTTGTTGAATTAATCTAGTTTAATTTCTTCAACTTTTCTTGTTTCTTTCTTCTGTTTGAGGAATTCAATAGGAACCAAGAAGAAACTCATCTTTGTTTCGTGACAACTGTGTGTGAGGTGATTACACGTATATTTCGCATGACTGCTTTTTGGAGAGAGGAGCGGAAATTTAAATTTTAAAAGGGCTGTTGTGTGTGTTGATGAACGACAGTTCGAAAATCTTAGCGGAAGTTATTTTCACAGAAAAGTCACTTACTTCTAGTTTTCCCTTTTGTCAGTGAAGCTACAGTAAGGTTTTTACTTCTTAATACGTGGTACACATACTTTCGTCCGCGAATGCATATGATTTAAACCATTAGCGATTGATTTCAAGAGAAAAATATGGGAAATCGATGCTCCGGTCGAAAAATTAAAACTAAGAGGGCGATAGAAACGATTCTGGGTAGCAGAGTCTATTGTCATCCATTTCTTATTAGTATTTCATTGCAGAGGTCATCAACAACACAATTTATATAAGCCATCAAGGACTGCGCCAACAACAAAGTAACGATCGATCACGTCACGCACGCGTGATTTTTCGAAAACTTTGGCTCAAAAGCTGGCATAAAAAAATTTCAATGCTAACATGAAAAACAAATCGACGTTAATATTCCATCAATGTCTATAACCTAATTTTTCATGAAAATGGCGTCAACTTAAAAGAATCACGAGGCACAGCCGAGTGGTTTCAATTTAGTTTTAGACATTGTTGACATCATTTCTTTGATCATGAAGTTTATAGACAATGAAAAATTGTAGTCGATTTGTTACCTGAGTTCTAAATAGATGAATAGAGACAAGTGTTCCAAGTTTCTCTGCTCGTGCAGCCGGTTTCTAAGGATGTTACATTTCGATTGCCGTCGATCATTATATCCCGGGAAGTAAATTAGCTTGTTTTCCTGAGAGCCTCGCTCACTTTTAGCAGTAGACCAAACAAAACATCGGCAAGAGATGTCTTTCACGCAAACAGATTGCACAGAAAATGCGAGTGAGCGAGTAACTCATGTTTCCAATGAATACAAAGTATGTAAAGTCATCCCTTAACTCTCTCTAAATGGAAATTCTTTCACTTAACCTTTGAATTCAAAATTTGGTGATTCAATTTCCCTTTATGCAAAGCAAAGCATTTCTCATTCCCGTGACGCAGCTGTTATATCTCAGTTAAGGATTCTTTCTTTCAGTTCTCTTTTCAAATTTGAAAATTATGTTTATCTATGAAAAATATCTCATCATACCTGCGCAAGGGACAAATACTAAGGATGGAATTACAGCATTGACGAAAAGTACGATCCAATTCTTCATGGTAAGCTAAGATTATTTCTTGCCGGTTGCTCTACCGGCAGGAAAAGTTGTTATATTTAGTTTATGATTTGCTTCATCACTATGCATGTCAAAAGGTCAACTTACCAAAAAAATAGAAAAAACATGTCATATCCTGTCCGATTGTCAAAGCAGGGGCATTGTTCCTTCGCTCTGTGTTTAGGAAGCCTTTCAGAGAAAAAAAAAAAAAAAAGGATAAATTCAGTACATTCATAGCATTTATGGGCCACGTCATTAAAGGTTCTATTCCGTAAGTTTTTAAGCACAAGCACATTATTTTGCTTAATTAAAATATGCACCCTTTATCTAGACCCGTTCCTACGTGGTATTGTCAGCCAACAACTTTAAAACGACTTTGAAATTTTCGACCGCTGGCTATGCCGTAAATTTCAAGTCCTCCTCAGATTACAATCCACGGATACGGACAAAGATGTTCATGTATGTTTACCAAATGCTCATTAATATTATGAGGAAAATTCACTCACTCATATAATATATATATATGTAAATATATATATATATATATATATATATATATATATATATATATATATATATATATATATATATATTTATATATACATTTCGTAATTACTCACTCATCAGATGAGCGCTGCACCGGTATCGCAGAGGTCATGAGTTCAAACTATTTTCAACTACTGGTTCAGTAGTGTTCTTAGCTGCGAGGATCTCCTAATTTCGTTTTTTTTTTGGTAATTTGATAAACTATTAACCAGCAACTAACTGTTGAGTATAATATATACATACATATATATAGCGCTTTGTGTGTAGAGGGATAATCGATCTATATCTATATATCTATATCTATATATGTATATATCTATATATATACATAAATATTATGAGAGGAAAAAAGGACGCAACTATATTTCCCGACAAGCCTGTTTCGTGAATCGCTTCACTCTTCAGGGGTTTAATTTAACTTTTTCCTCTCATAATATTTATTCTGCTCTGCTTCAACGTATTGAGCACTGTTCCACGCGAAAATCGACTTGCAGACTTCCTATATATATACATATATATATATATATATATATATATATATATATCAAGGCTTCGTAGCAGCACGAAGTAAGATATCGCTCTCATGAACCACACGATGCTTTTGAAGTTCATTTTGCCAATATTTTTTAATGAAGGCAAAACATGTTTCGGATGAAACATCATCCATCGTCAGTTGTATGATGAGAAAACAAAATGAATTATGCAATGAATAGTATGGCAAAGTGAAATGTTAACAAGAACAATTAAACAGAAAAAAAAGTGAAGCTACTTAAGCTAAGAAGGGATAAAGGGATAGGATGTTTGACCTGTGAATTTAAAGACGGCTGCTCTCCAAGGATGTGCATGGCTTCCTGGATTTTCAATTGGAAGCTTGTGGAAGCAGAGTCCAGAATTTTAATACAATCTTCTGAACAAAGGGAGCGACAATTTCAGAACCTCTCAGGTGCTTAAAGATGTGGGAATGTCTGTCAGAGGAGAGATGTTCGCAGATGGCGACGTTCTTGTTGGTTTTACCAACATAACAGGCGCTACAGCCTGTACATGAAAACTTATAAGTAGCTCGCGATCGTAAACCCACAGGGATAAGATCCTTGAACCCAAGCCAAGTCTTAATTTTAAATGGGGTGAACACCACCTTAATTTAAAGGTCACTGCAAAATGTGCTTACTAATTTCTAAATTCTGCGTTGCGTTGTGAAGGAAATAGGACCGATGTACGGTAATTTAAAATACAGACAATTTTCCTTACGAGCATCACTCTGAGAAGAATCGGAGGTGAAGTTGTTGTCAAGACATTTTTCTTACAGTCATCGAAAATGTTGTAAGTGTAACCGTTACCATGTTAATTTCACATCATCTTTTAAGGTCATCCCTTCCCTCAGAGTATTAGATGTAAAAGCTGTAAAACTCAAGCAAGACCTCTCCTCTAATAGGAGGCGATTAAATGAAGCAAGGAAGGGTGACTGAGTTTTCATGGGCGTTCACTTCCAAATTTCAAATTCACTTGCAAATCAGTATCAAGGTGATCTGACTCATAAATATAACATAGTAATAGGTAATAGTAATGGTAATAAATGGTAATAGGTAATAGGATGGTAATAGTCGTGAACGGCCTTCACAGCGGGGTTAACGGTCAATTCGCCACCACACAACTCGCCACCACTGAAAGTCAAATCGCCATCGCTGGCGATTTTCACTTAACGGTTAACATTTCCGAATTGAGAGGCTACCCATAAATTCCGAGGCCCTTTTCCTTTTGGCAATATACTGCTTTACCTTAGCTTTCGTTTGATGTGACTTTCATACGATAGGCTACACATAACGAAAAAGGTAAATCGCCGCCGGTGGCGTTTAGTGTTGTGTTTTGTGATGAAGAGTTTGTTGTGTTGGCGAACTGACAGGATACCCACAGCGGGCTTAGATCTTTGAATCCAGATTTTATCTGCAGGGCATATGGTTAACTGCTACAATTAGTTACTTCATCTGCATCACCATTTTAATACAGCTGCCCTGTATCCGTGCTACTCATTAACATCAAGCACCGATTGCCGAGAAGGGATTTCACTCTATGTAATTATAACAGAGCAGTGTTTGAAGTAAATTCCCTCCACTGCAGGCCAACATAATTCCCTAGGATTATTCAATCTTAACGAATTTGAGGACCACATAGGTATAATCAATCAGCATAGAAGTCGATATTCACAGGACGTAAATCTTACTTTTTTTGACAAATGTAATGTGACATCAATTGATTTCTTTTGCATCGTCACAAAGTCAAATCTGCTACACTAAAGGCCACGCTTTTAATACTAGGAAATGCATGTATTTTCTTATACATCAGGCTTCTTATGACAAAGTCACCTTACCGATTAACTCTCTCACCTAAGTGGTGGGAAGGCCGTAAATAACATCCCTATTTACCTTTGTTAGTTCATGTAGTGATGTGAAGGTATCATCCAAATATCTACGTCATAAAGGAAGTAGATTCTTGGCCAACGTCATCGCCCCCTCCTCGAATTTCTCCATGTAAATAGAGGAATTGGAGGAATTTGAAGAGAAGGTAAGATGCCAAGTGCAAATTGTTACAATACTCTGACGAATGAAAACAAACAAACAAAGAAACAAGAAAAACAACCAAAAAACCAGCAGAAACAATCAACCACCCGCCTGTACCACAGTAGTATCTGTAAAAGCATTCAGCCACCCTCGCACTCATTATTACTAGAACAGAAACCCTATACCGAGTTATTCAATGTGAGATTAAGCTGCAGGCTTAGTGCAAAATCATCGACTAATTCCTTGAATTTTGTGAATCCCCAAAATCTGGCACGTTGAATATTGGAGATTATCAAAGCCTAGTGTTGCGTTCTGTGAGGATCACTATATTGCTGAATCATGACAATGCTGGCCATCGGACCAATGACTTCAACGTCCCTGGCAATCGTGAAACCACGATATCTGGCATTACGGATATCGCATATCGTGGAAATTCATTCAGGACCCAGCTTCCACATTACGAAGCTCTCGACATGGTACAGGAAGAGCAACCAAACAAATTTATTCTACTAGAAAATGCACGCTGCTCGCTTATGGTTACAGTTTTTATTTAAGGACGCGTTTTAACTATTCGGGGTTTAATATACATCGAAATGCATGCTCATTCCACACTTTGAGTGTTCATTAGCTCACTGTAAATGCAACAACGACAACAATTTGTCCAGTGCTTCCTCGGCTAAAGTTTCTCAGCAATAGATATGTAGAATTTAAACAAAACTTTATTTTTTAGCATAAATTTCCTTAAAATAGGCTGAATACTGCTTAAAGTTCGCAGTTATCCAAATTAAATCATTGTAATAACCATTGAATGTATATCGATGTAAAAGGTAAATGGTCACCAATTTAACTACATGTTAGCAACAACTGCTTGCTTTACTTCGACTTGCTTTACTTCGACTTTTACTTTGCTTGATGGGCTGGGTACTTCCCTTGGTTGTTAGCTGCATAGTAACAGGAACATCAAGTTTTAAAATGTATATTTTCAAAGAGTGTGTAGAAGAAACTGTTTCCGCCTATGGTAATAAGAGTGTTCACAATTCTTGAGGCTAATCCATGCTTGCGTAAAGGATGTTATCATAATGTTGCATGTTGATGAGCTTCTGCAAGGAAAAATAAAGTGATAGTCGATTAGACGACTTCTAAATCAAAAAGTGACTAAGCCTTGCTTAAATTTATTACAAAATATTTCACCTGATGTTGATTTTCCATTTCCTTCAAATCGTTCCTTAGATTCTCAAACATTGGGCGATCATCTGGATTCTCTTGCCAGCAGTCTTGCATTATCTTGTAACTAGATAAAATTTTAAAAAACTTGGGTTTTCATGGTACGAATTTTACTGAAAGGCTCCTCACAACATATTCTACACAGTTACCTAAGCACGAAAGTTGGAACCCCTATGCTTAAGAAGTAGAAGAAAGTAGTGATCAATACATTGGTATTTGATTTTTTTTTTTAGTTCTGTAACCATTCTCATAGCTAAAGAGTTATAGAGGTAATGAAAAAAAATTCGAAACTTTACATATTAATTTCATGAACAGTTAAATAAATGAATGCACCTATGGCCTTACAGGGTATCCTCCACGTGCCGTGGCTTAGGCATCCTGTAACCCTGAGTAAGTAAATCTGCCATTTTTCGTCCCTGAATCCTTGGATAAGGAGAGCCACCTAAAACGAGAGGTTAAACACGGAGACAGCGGATCGATCAAAAAGTGCGCTATCCATCTAAAATACACTAAAACACGATTGTCTGACATACCTATGGTGAATATTTCGTAAAGCACAATTCCAAAACTCCATCTAAGTAAAGAAAATGTCACCAGGCTTCATTATAAGTTAACAAATACAGGTATAATTATATTATAGGCCAATGATGTTTAGATTTGAAATATTTCTTTTCATTCTTCAAAACTTTTTATCAGCTTATCAGATACACTTACACATCACTTTTCGTCGTATATCGTCCGTATAACAGCGCTTCACAAGCTGTCCATTTCACCGGCAGTCTTCCCTATTAAAACATGTTGAAAGGAAATGTTGACGAGAAAGAGCAATGATTCTTCATTTTTTTAATACCCGCAGACTTTCTGGCGATGATGTACTGCGAAAAATTATTGGGAAACAAAGTGACAAGAGGTTGAGATAGCATATATCAATACTGATAGATAACGATATTAGCCAAACACGTGACATATCGAGGTATTGAAACCAGAAACCTTTGATTTCCTTTCGTAGATGTTTTCCTGGCATACGTCTCTCGCCATTCCAAAATCGGTTACCTTACATCGTTCTCGCTCTCCAACCAAGACGTTCCGGGCTGCAAGGTCGCGGTGAATAATCTGTCGAATATTATACAAGGCATTAATGAATCATCAAAAAGCGTCCACGGAATATCATGTCCATCCTCGTCTGATCATTGATTTCGAGCCCTAGAGGACAGGGGCCGTTTTGAGATGCAAGACTTAATACTCTCCGACTTGCGTCCACAAAAAAACACTTTGTTTTGGAAAAATAAACTTAAAATTTTATTATTTTATCAAACTTATATAGAATCTTTCAATGTGTAAATATCATCAACCTTGAAAAATTAAACAGAAAACGCTTTCTTAAAAACTGGAGAGCTTTCTTGCAAATCTTTCTGTTTACAAACAGTAACTCAGTTTGCTCTAGTGAATAGCGTTTAAAGATAAAACTTTCTTGTTTGCAACGAGACAAAAGTGACTGATGCAATAGACGCTTTTGATCATTTCAAACAAAAAGCTCTATTATCGCCGTAACTAAACCACATAGAAAAGATTCCCCAAAGTATTGATAAAAGTTCATTTGCATCCAAGTTTACTTCATGCACATGAAAATGTTGATGAGAATTGAAATGAAAAAGGTATCCCTTGCATCTATTGCCGCCGAGACAGTAAACTTATTTTTATACTAAAACCAACTTACATTTTTTGAGGACAAATAATGCATACCATCAGCCACTTGCCAGGAAAACTTCATCAGTTGCTGGGAAGTCAAACTCGTCTGTGGCTTAATATCCGGGTCCTTGAAGTAGTTATCTTCTAATTGTCGGCTCTTTCTCAAATAGCCCAGGAGATCTCCATACGGGACATACTCGATAAGTACAAGCAAAGGATCTAAAAAGATGTTTTTTTCAAGAAACAGAACACTCGTCTACATTCTCACTTAACAGTGGTGATTACAGCGATGGAAAACCGGAAATAATTTGCAATTGTGTCGAGGGTAATCAAATTTCAAACCATGATCTGCGGTAAACCGGATACATAAAATTAAGTTATAGGAATTAAAGGGAGCTCCCAGCGGTAAAAAGATAATAATAATCTTTTACCGGGTACATATGTAACAAACGTCTTTTGTTAATGCTGTTAGGATCAGCAATGACGAGATTACGTGTAGCGAGAGAGAAAGAAATATGAATTCAGTTAAAGTTCGGGTATTTAATTAGAATTATTACTTTTAATTATTTGTCGAAGTACATAATAATTACTTTAGTTGTCGGAGTGATACAAGCAGAAATAAACTAAGTAGTTTCATAAATTTTATTTTATGTACCTGATTCAGTGACGCATCCCAGCAGCCTGATGACGTGAGGGTGAGGCTTGAGTTTCTTCATGACTTCAAGCTCTGACAGCAAATCTTTTCTCTCTGTGTCTGTGGCGTTACCTAAAGCAAAGGAGGACTGTACAGTAACAGTTAAGCCTTATCCTGACAAAAACGCTTTTAGGACAATGAATAGAGTACCTTTCAGCATTTTTATAGCAACTGTAATTGTCTCCTCTCTTCCTCGAAGGTTTGAAGCTTTTCCCTGAGCGACTTGACCAAAGGCACCTTTTCCAATAACCTTTTCAATCGTTACATTTTCTCTTTCCACTTCCCATGAGCGCGTTCCTGGATGCAGGGGAGCATATTCGTTTATTTCTAGATAACTTCGCGCTGGGCCCGTGGCAGGTTCATTCAGTGATCTAACTTCATTCAGGTCCATGTAATGTCCGGGACCATGATGCACCACGGTGCTCAGGTTCCCACTTCTACTTTCCAGTTCAAATCCCTCGTTCTATTTTTCAGCGAAAAAAAATTTACTCTTAGTCTTATCTGTTTTGTTCCCATACGGATTGGTAACGAGCAAGGAAGAGGTAAATCGTAATTCTTGAGGAAGTCTAATGCGAAATTTCATGAGAGCATTATCTAGTCCATGGTATTGTAGGTATTTTCATTTAAATTCACTCGTTTTACGACCAAAATAAGAAAAGTCATACGCAACCGTAATCTCTGTTATGACAATCGGATAAAATTTTGGAGAATTCTTAAATACTATGATATCATCCACTAGACTTAACCTCCTTTCCGTGAGCACTTGCAAATGAGTACTAAGAAGATTTGACTCGCAAATACAACAGCAATTTCTTAGAATAGTGGTAAAAGGTTGGCAAAGCGCACTTTAATAATACTTTAAGTCCAAATTTAATATGTGTGGTATATGATAGACTGCTATAAATTCATCTTCCTTTTGTTACTTCTTATGTGTCGCCATTTTTATTGAACTGCCTCACGATATTGAGGTCCCTAGGGCCTAGAAAAAATTGTAGGTATGCGTGCTCTGCTTTATCTTCAAGCATTTAGTGGCCAAACAGATATTTGCTGATCATCGCAGAGTAGGTTATTCGAACAAAGTGCACTCCATACTTACAACGTAAGGCTCACGTGACTCTTTAATGCCTGTATGAAGTCTAAAAGAAAAATAAAACACTATAAAAGTAGTTTCTAGGAAAATGACAAAACCTCACAAACAAAATATTTCTTTGTTTTTTTTTGTTTTTTTTGTTTTGTAACATACCAACTGACACATGTTGGTTTCTCATGCAACGTAACAACATCAAATCTGCTTCACTCAGTTTTTTTTCTCTCGCTGCTGCGTTTTTATTTAACTATATGGCACCAAACAAACTTCTCCTAACGACAGAAACTTCACACAGCTATAAATACGACCAAAGCCTGCTTTCTACCAATCGGATCTACGGATGCTTCATTAACTTTTAATATTAATGACATCTTACCGATCATCTTTCTCACCTAAGTGTGGAAAGTAGGAAAAAGAAATAATATCAGGTAAAGAGAAAACAGTTGCATTTATTATTTTAAAATTCAAGAAGTCCTCATCAATTATGCTTCACGTATTTCCAGCCTCTTCGCTTGTGAGTATTTCCATTCAGTTATAGTAATATAATATGTTGAACGAAAGTAAGCGTAACGCTGCTGGTTGGTGTCATGAATTGAAAGACTTTGCGAGATGATTATACTATGCTGCAACTTGTCCAACTAATCGCTGTTTTTCCTTTCCTTTCTCTTTCTCAGTTTCCATTCTATTCTTCATCTGAATCTCTCTTTGTCAATCGTCCACAAAATCTTAAATCTCGGTTACTAGCATCTCGACATGAGGGGACGCAAGCGGCCTCAACTGTAAGTACTTTTAAGAAATGCTAGGATATTATCCTAGCATTCCGAGCTGCGCGAGAGTGTCAAATTCCGTGCGTACGTCACAGAAATGTCACTAGACCTCTAGACCTAAAGTACGCCAGATGAGGGCGAATAAATCGTCTGGATATATTTCTCTTTATAGTCTACAATGTAACGCAAAGGAACCGGCCGAGGAATAAAGGCACTATTGATTGCATGTGAAACAAAAGCATTAGCTGATGACATTTTGATATCAGGTATTAATTCATTTATCTTCTCATATTTATTCGCCCTCATCTGGTGTACTTTAGGTCTAGTGACATTTCTGACATACGCACGGATTTTGACACTCCCGCGCAGCTCGGAATGTTAAGAATGCTAGGATAATATCCTAGCATTTCTAAAAAGTACTTACAGTTGAGGCCGCTTGCGTCCCCTCATGCAGGGCATTTACCAACTGCGGATATAGTAATTAACTCAACTTACGTTGTCGCCTTTTCCAGGCAATGAAAATGATAATAATAGTGAGAATCAACGCGAGGACCCCAATAACTGAGCCATAAATAACATCCTTATTCACCTTTGCTGGTTCAGAAGGAACTGGACCAGGAACAGTTACTGAATCTTAAATCAATGACATACATTTCAGAGAAGCAATGCTTACTTAGCTGTTAAGTTATATTACTTGAATTACTTAAAGTGAAACTGATTTAAACACAGCTATGCACATGTATCTGCAATCTATAACAGTTAAGTACTCTTAAAATGTCGCTGAAGTTTGCTTTGGCCTTGTAATCAGATAATGCTTTACGGTGCACACCCACTTTTCAAGAACATCACAAAGTTGTTTGTCACACGAGCTTAAATTCAAAAGCGTAGCTTCCAGTAGTTACCACCGCAGTGGTAATGTATCTGTAGTACAGATTCGCAGGTTACAGACCCAATCTTCATTAGGTGCACTCGAAATTACCATCGTAGAAATTTTTATACACACCTGGGATAGTTGATCCTACGGAAAAAGTATCTACTTTTAGGGTACCAAGGCTTCCATTGTTAATTACATCTAGAAGCAATGATTCTACTTCACTTTCTCCAACAGGCTCGTCAAATGTAAGCGATATGTCTGCGATAACACTTCCCTCTCTATAAAAAGATGAGAAAAGTAAATCCAAGCATTTTCAAATTTAATGCTTTTTAAAACATTCTTAATGTTTCTGGTTGAGATACTTCTAATCCTACTAAGGATTATCTCAAACAGAATCATAAAGAATTTTGAAATCAGAGTACAGTTAGTGTATTTTGTTATCGATGAATGATGATACCTCAGGTGCGTTACATTAATTTCTCTGACACCGGAACCTTTGAATTCTCCATCGACCTAAAAAGCAACGACATTCAAATCATAAGTCAGTATGATAGAGAAAGGATGAGGATCTATCACACCTAACAGTGGAGATAAGCTTCTTAGCGTACAAAAGTGCACAAGGATGTTTTGACTTGTAAATTACAATTTAGTAAGGGGAAAATTTTTTCATTCTCTAAGTAAGAGACTCTTCACTTTATGCTACTGTGGTCTATACATGTCCTTAAAAAGAAAAAAAGGGGTTTTATTTCCCTGGTAATATTAAGATCAATTGGGTTAACGAAAGCTTTTCTATACAGAGCAAAAAAGGACTAGGATAACTTTCTTCCTTCTGTTCCTTCTGTTTGCGTGATTTAAAAAGAAAAAGAAAAAAAGATAGAAAATACTTGATTTCTTATTGACTTTTTATTTGATTAAGTAGAAAGCACCTTCTTAAAATTATAACACCAATGACTTACCGAACTTTTAATTGTTCCAACAAACAGTTGTGTATATGAGTCAGACAAGTCTGTAAGTTCTTCTATCCACTTTATATTGCTTATTTTAAGGCTGATCATGATAACAATTGCCACTGCATCTTTTGTAGCAAATGAAACAGAAGTGTAGACTTAATTAGCCTAAAGATGTGGCTTGTGACATATCAATATTCATTACCTACTATAAAATAATGCAGTGAAATTATAACAAAGAAAAAGTGGCTCCTTCATACCACACTGGTAATTGGGTTTCTGGTATTTCATATTCCAGTAAAATTCTGACCTATCGGGTAACAATAAGTAACTAGCGAGCTTAAGCTCCTGGATTTTTGTGGGGCATTTACATGGTTCTCCTCCTCCTCAAGTCTTAAATCACTAACGTCTTGTCAACCAATGGGTCCAAAATATATGTCTACCTCGGCTCAACTTACCATTTTCTTTGCAATCTCTTCCTTTTCTACCTTTTGGACACAGGCATAAGTGTTTTCCAAATTCTCTGCACGTTCGTCCATTGGTACATTTCACAAGACAAGGGTTTCCTACACGCAGAAAAGTCATAAGACATTATTGAATAAATGAAATTCCAATGATGTTTTAGGCGAGAGATGCAAAAACCTTACTCCTAGAACTTTTCATACATTTTGTATTTGACAATCCTTTTATTTCAATTTTTGTCAGAAGTGTTTCAAAGTTCATGATCCTAGCACTAAAAGCTGTATTGCATGTTTTACTTGTCACTTAGAATTGAAATTGCAGATAACATTTCCAACAGTACTTTTAAAAGATTTACTTCCGCGATATCATATCACCGTCGGGAAATCGAGGTCAGGAGAAGGAATTCTTGTCACTGCGCTGAGCATTATTTTATCATAGCAAATGTTGTTTTTCATCGTGGCTTTATAGATTTAAAGGTTTGATCGTTGGTCTCACGACATGTGTCAGGCTAATCAATCGTGTATTGATCGCGACGCTTCGACTGTTTTACTGCTACTCAGGCGAGAAGATTGAAATTTAGCGTGCAACAGGAGGGCGTTCTTTACAAAATCACCCGTAAATGGGGCAAAGAATACATAGGAGAAACAGGTAGAGAGAGAATTAAATAGCATGCAAGAGATATACAGCTTGCTTGCTCTAAGAATTGGGCGGCTTTTTAGAACACGCCGTTGAAGCAGGACCTGTTCCTGTTTGGGACCAGGTTAGGTTTTATTGATCATGATTCTCACTGTTACACACGTAGGATTAAAGAAGCCATCCACATAAGACTTCATTCTAATAGCATCAATGGAGATGACGAAATCGAAATTCCTGATTGGATGGCATGGATGCGTACGATCAAAAAGCATAAAAGCCGATCAGTTGCAAAGCCGACCTATGAGGGAATAACATCTAACAGTCAGAATAATAATGAGTATTGAAATGACCAGTAAAAGCGCGCCAAAGCATACCAATAACAAATTAAGGTGCTATCACATAATGAAGAGTTATCACGAGGAAGAAAAATTGCCAATCATGAAGAACATGGCGAAAAGGATGATTTCCAATACAGATTCATTAACATGGTATGAAACTATGAACCCATAACTGTAAAGGTACAGTATATACTGTAAGGTTACGTGTACCGGGCAACTTGAACTGGACATGGATGCTTGCGGTCTTTTCTGCGTTACCACACTCATTTCTGGCTTCACATCTGTATTCACCAGCTTGACTTCTGTTAATGCTTGTAACCTCCAACACTTTACCATTGTGACGCTGGCCATTAGGTGTCACCCAAGACACCACTGACGGAGGCATTCCAGATACACGACACCACAGGGTCACATTGTCACCTTCAGTTGCATTCTGGTCTTGAATTGCAGGTATGGATGAAGGCACTAAGATATGAAAAAAAAAAAAAAAGGAATTATATACAGTGTATTTCTAAGGGTGTAGTGTTCAACCACAGTCAAACACAGATCGGATAAGTCCTGATCTTATCTCAAGCTGCACAAAATTTACGTCATGATCTAAATTGTAACTGTCTCTTCTCGCTATAACTTCATTTAAGAATTCAGTAAATCTAGCAAATGGGTTTATAAATGCAGTCATCAACTACGTAGGCTACATATATGTTATTTGCCGGCTAAGAGGTCCGTATGGTGAAAAACTGTGACCGACGTCTTGAAAATACTGCCCGTAGCCGTAGGCTGAGGGCAGCATTTCAAGACCGAGGTCACAGTTTTTCACCATACGGACCGACCCTTAGCCGGTAAATATATATTTTTTTTTAAACTTGACGAAATTCTTTCCGAAAGAACCCGAATGATTTAGGGCTGTAAATACGGCAAGATCTTTCATAAACTGAACAATTTTTGAACGAGTAAATGGTAGTTAAAATAGAGGTGATGCAAATTAAAGAGAGATGCCTCACCGAAAAATTTTTATTTCCGTAACGACGAAGGTGATTTAAAAGGCCTCCAAACAAAATTTAAAACATTATTTTTACAAGTATCTGTCGCAATCTGACACCTGTCAACTAGGGAGCGCGTAAGAAAAAAAAAGCGAAAGAAAATTTGAAAAACAACGGAACTAGTTTGGCAATGATCTAACGGAAAGTATTATTCACTCTCATCGACGATTCATTCATGTACGAACATTTACCTCTGTTCATTAAGTAAACGGCGAGGAAAGTAATTGTGAGTAAATTCAAATTTTTTATTTTAAAGTTGTGAGAGTTTGTTCGTTGGTTTGCTGTAATGGCGTGTGTAAATCTGGTCTTTCCTCCACAAAAAATAAATTCGAATGGCACACTCCAACGAAACACACGGGGATTCAATGCGGCCTTCGCCCATTAAATTCCTTTAGTTTCTGTTGTGCAATTTACAGTACAAATGTCTAAATTGAACGGAATTGGGAAGACTCACCGAGAGTGTATATTTGTTGTAGAACTTAAGTTAAAACTTCGCTCGCTCTTTCACTACGAACAAATCGTTTGAGAAAATTCCGATATTAAATGAATGAAAGCTCCATCGTTCAGTTTAACTGTAACCAAATACTTCACGTTCACGTTCTTCATGGACCGAGAACAAGAAATATTATTATTTTAGCATGCTTTGGTCCCACACACTAAATGGCGCAAAAAATGGATGAAAATCATTCTTTTTGATGAGCAAAATTTGATCAAAGGACTCTAGGTGACGTAGCTAAACTAGAATGTATTAAAATAAGTGCAAGTAACAAGGTGATACCGGATCTGAGCTTGGCTGATATTATAACTACTGTTGAAAACTTGACACTTGATAAGGTGAATAACTTTGTACCCAGGCAACTGCATTCCTCACAGAAGACTGGCAGGGCGTATTTTGAAAAGAAGACCGGCAGGGTGCATTCAAAATATCGAAAGTGAGTGTATCATGAGACAAAAGGTAATGATTTTTTATTTTTTTACAGCTACAAAAGTGGTACAGTTAGTATGAAAATGGGATGGAAATTATCTAAAAGGTCCGGAAAACACATGAAACATTTCTTAAAGAACAGATTACTGCCATAAAATTCACAGCAAGTGTTTTTAAATCTAGAGCATTGACATAGTTTAATACGAAGAGCAAGGCTTACCATTAAGAGTAACACTAACATCCGTACTAGCTGCTATTCCCAAACTGTTCTTAGCCACACATTTGTAGAAAAACACTCCTTCACTTGCCAATGTTTCGCTCCACATCCCTGAAAGGCTGACGTCTATAGCGGTGTCATTCTTAAACAGGTGGTATGACGTTACTGCTGGCTTAGCATCGGCTGAGCAGTTAAAGGTGATAGTATCACCCTGACATGCTTTGTAGTCGATCACAGAAGTTGTAAATAGCACATTCTCTGGTTGGTCTACGAGAGTTACAAAAAGATTACAATCATGAAATTAACATGGTTTGATGCTACTCTGGCTTAAAGATTTAATGAGTGTAACGGAGAAGTTACATGTACAACGATTTGAAGGAGCGTGGGCTGACTTGATATGCCAGGCTTCCAAACAATGGCGCTGGTGGTAACGTCGACTGGTGGTGATAATTTTTGACTTATCCAACCCAATTTTATGGTTGGTTAGGCATGTGTGCTCCGACAAAGCTGAATTTTTTTTTTTTTTGCAAAAAAAGACCAGTTTTTGATGCTCTTTCATACGTGTACCTAACTGACGTTTGGTCAGTCCGATATACTCGTGATCAACTGACATCAATTCTACCCACGCTCCTTTAAATTGTGATGAAGGCGGCTTACTAACTGACGCCTATTTACACCTCGTCAAAAGAAAGGGAAGCTCCTTAGTGAGCATGTAAACGGAACTCTTGCTGCAGCGATTAGATCACCCCTGATGAAGACATTAAACACGAGTGTCAAAACGTGAGGTCTATGAATTGTAACTTCTCAGTTAAATTCATTATATCTTCAAACCAGAGTAGCATCAAACACCTGGCTGCCATGTTAACTTTAATATATCATATTAATGTAAAATTCCATTAATCCCAACTTGACACATGTTGGACTCATAAAACTATGAATGTTCATCATCAACTTTTCTTTACATCTTTGTACACGCGTCAAGGAAAAGTAATGAACAGGTGGCCTCATAAGAAAACCTCTTAGTGACTAATTTAGTTTCAAAACTTTAATACCCACAAGCATTCACCATTTGTAAATTCAATCTATAGGTAATTACTTACACTGCACATCAATAGTTGCCATCTCTGTTGCATTGCCACACTCATTGCTGGCTTCACATTTGTATTTCCCAGCTTCAGTCCTGTTAATGTGTGTAACCTCCAACATATGTCCATAATGACGCTGACCACCAAGCTTAATCCAAGACACCTTTGGTTGAGGCATTCCAGATGCAGTACATGTCAAACTTAAATTGTCACCTTCGGTTACATTCTGATCTCGAATTGATTCTATATTTGAAGGCACTGAGGAAAAATACAAAATTAAATACTGTACCCAAACCTTTAGTCAGTAAATAAATATTTGTGTGAGCATTTCATTCATTAAACTTTACATTTATCGAACAAATTTACACCGAGATCTTAAAATACATGTATAGTCGCCGTTGCTGAGGTCACTTGTAACAATCTGGTTGAATGATTGTATCCATGAGGTTTCATAAATTTTGTCTCTTTTGGTCCAAAGCACTCATTGGGAATGAAAAACAACTTAATTGGTATCATTGTTTTTTTAGATTGCTCAATTGAATGATTGTATCTGAGGCATCCGTCATTTTTGCATTCTTTGGTCCAAAGCAATTATCGTGAATGAAAACAATTTAATTGGTTTGATAGCTTTTTCAGGATGTCCCATTTATTTGATTAGGTGACTCGGGTAGCCATGGTGGAGCTAAATGTACGGAAATACGCACTACTAACAAAGGAAAGGATTTGACATCACATACTTTTTTTCCTTTTAATCAGGATCATTTGACAAGGACTAAGGCAATTCCCAAACGCGCTTATCCATATCTCTAAAAGCCCACTCCTCACTTTACACTGTGTATGTTTTCAGTACACACTCACATAAACTAATTTATTCCACTATGTACAACGGCTAACCCGATTGTGTACATGAGTAAGCGTATGTAAGAGAACAGCTTCACAGCGTCAGTATATTGCAAAGTTAACTTTTTTCTATCAAACTCGTTTGACAAGAAAACAGATCATGTTCAAACGCTTTCCGCTCCTTATCACATCTTTAAAATTCCCACTCCTCGCTTGACTCTTTAAGAGTCCTCAGTATACAAACGAGCGAGTTTGTTCTAATATGCAGCGCAGCTAACAGCATGATGTAAAGTAATAAATCTGTGCAGAGAAAAAAGACTCACAACTTAACTAATCTGCAAAGTTAAGAGCTTACCATTCACTGTGACCATAACAAATGAACTGACTTCTGATCCTAAAGAGTTGTTGGCCATACATCTATACGTGAACACTCCTCTATTTGACACGTTCCTTGTCCACATTCCTGAAGGGTTTGTGTCCAAGATAGCAGTGTCATTCTCAAACAGCTGGTATGACGTCACTGATGGACTAGCATCAGCTGAGCAGTTAAAACCGATCATATCGCCCTTACATGCTTTGTTATCCATGACAGATGTTGTCAATTGCACATTCTCTGGTCTGTCTACAAGAGTTACACACAAATTTTGTCAAATATTGTAGGTTGTAGAAAGCTCACTGCAGTCCTTTTTTTATTATTTATATCTAAATTTGTATGGGCGCCAACAAAGTAATGAATAGAACAACATACTTTTCAGCTCTGTATGATTTAAAACATTGAGTCGGTAATTAAATTTACATAAATCAGTGTAAAAATAAAACAAAAATTAAGGGATAATTTTATAAAGTAGCAGAACAAGACTAACTATAATATGATAAAAGTCGTAAGATGAAGAGATTACTTTAAGATGATCCTTTGGTGTTTACATAAGATAGGTCTGACTGTATTACAAATTACATGACTTAATCTGTGTAAAATTACCGATACCTTAATCCCAATTCATACAAAATCTGCATATGTACATTAAACATGTAATAATAGCCATCGTCAGAGTATGGAGTTACGAAACATGCAGATCAACGTAGCTTTTAATGAAAAGGAACCTTCAAACTTACGCAGCACAGTAATGTTTGCTGTCTCTGTCGCATTGCCACATTCATTACTGGCTTCACATTTGTATTCACCAGCTTGAGTCCTGTTAATGTTTGTAACCTTCAACTTGTATCCACTAACACGTTGACTATCAGGTGTTACCCAAGACACCATTGGTGGAGGAATTCCAGATACATTACACATAAGAGTTACATCGTGACCTTCAGTTACATTCTGATCTTGTGTTATTTGAATAATAGAAGAAGAAACTGCAAAATTTGAAAATGAGTACGGATGTAAGTAACAGCCGGCCACTGGCTCGCAGCCTTAAGCACATAGATCATAGCTTCCCTAATATAAATGTGCTTTTAGCCCTCCTCAACTCGATTGCCTTTTACAAATAAGAACATAAGATTATGCATATATACACTCGATTGCAAAAACGTTGACACCCAAAAAGATGTTACCAACGAGCGATGAGACACAGCGGCGTTATAGATAAAATGTACATGATAACCTTATTTACATAGCTGCATGTGGCAAATGATAGAAGCCGCCACCTTTTCATGAAAGACACGAATGATCATCAACAGTTTTGCAATGAATTATGGGATGCCACTGAGCCAAAATTTCTAATAAGGCCGTTGAGTCTCATAACTCATGGATACTGCTTTTCAATTGTCAAAGTTTTTTTATAATCGAGTGTTTGTACACTCATGTAAATACTGTTTTTATGTGCGCAGTTTTTCAAATTGTTCTCAAACAAACATAATTTGGACTTTTTTGCTTACCATTCACGGTAACAGTAAGACCCATGCTGTATTCCACTCCTAGAGAGGTATTGGCCACGCATTTGTAAACAAAAATCCCTTCACTTTCCAAAATCTTCCACCACATCCCCGAGGCACTTGTGTTTAAAATGGCAGTTTCGTTCTCAAATAGCTGGTATGACGTCACTCCTGGATTAGCATTAGCTGAGCAATTAAAGCCGACGACTTTTCCCGTACATGCTTTGTCGTTCATGGTAGAACTTATTAACTGAACATTCTCAGGTTTGTCTGGGGACAAAAGACACAATTTATAAATACAATTTCATTGGCCTTCGTAAGTTACATTTTACAAAGTAGCCAAGGAGTCTCCCTCTTTACGTGACTGATGCCGAAGTTACGAATAAACAAGCCTCTCCAGCAAAAAAGTTACAGAGAAGCAAATCGATATACTGTGACAAAGAAATACAAGAAACAGCATATAACAAAGTATAATTTATGCATGTACTTACACTGCACATCAATATTTGCTGTCTCTGTTGCATTGCCACACTCATTACTGGCTTCACATTTGTATTCACCAGCTTGACTCCTGTTAATGTGTGTAACCTCCAACATGTGTCCATTGTGACGCTGACCACCGGGCTTAATCCAAGATACTGTTGGTGCGGAGACTCCAGATACTTGACATGACAGAGTCACATTGTGACCTTCAGTTGTATTCTGATCTTGTGTTATTTGGGTTATTGAGGAAGGTACTGTAAAAGAAAAGTTAAAATGTGGAAGGATGTTAAAAGTAGTCAGTGACCAGCTTGTACACTTTAACACCTGCATCATTTCATTCCCAACATACAATGTACGTGTAATTCCCTTCGACTTAATTACCAACAACAAACATCAAGATAATTAAGATCATATACGTATAGACTAGATGGCTAAATGGTAGACACCTAAAACACGTTAGCGATGAATGATGAGACCCAACAGCATTATGCATGCACATTTCCATAATAACCACAATAAGTTACAAGTGGTAAATGATAAAAGCTAGCAAGGCTTTCTTGTGAGAAATTAAAACGCTCATCATAATCAGCAATATACAGTGAATATTATGATAGGATGCAACTTTGCAAACATTTCCCATAAAGCAATTTACATGTAGTCTCATCAATCATGGATCATCCTCCTTAAATGTCAATGTTCTTCTACAACTGAGAAAATGTACACTCGTGAACGCGCATGTATGTTTGTATAGCTTATGAAACGGGTTAAACAAGCACTAAATTGGGTTAGTTTGCCTACCATTTACGGTGACAGTAACACTCATGCTGCATTCTGATCCTAGAGAGTTATTGGCCACACATTTGTAGACAAACACTCCTTCACTCTCCAAAGTCTTGCTCCACATCCCCGGGGCACTTGTGTTTAAAATGGCAGTTACGTTCTCAAACAGCTGGTATGACGTCACTCCTGGATTAGCATTAGCTGAGCAATTAAAGCCGACGACTTTTCCCGTACATGCTTTGTCGTTCATGGTAGAACTTATTAACTGAACATTCTCAGGTTTGTCTGGGGACAAAAGACACAATTTGTAAATACAATTTCATTGGCCTTCGTAAGTTACATTTTACAAAGTAGCCAAGGAGTCTCCCTCTTTACCTGGCTGATGCCAAAGCTACGAATAAATAAGCCTCTCTGGCAAAAACGTTACAGAGAAGCAAATCGATATACTGTGACAAAGAAATACTAGAAACAGCATGTAACAAAGGATATCTTTTTCATGTACTTACACTGTACATCAATAGTTGCCGTTTTTGTTGAATTGCCACACTCATTACTGGCTTCACATTTGTATTTACCATCTTGAGTCCTGTTAATGTGTGTAACCTCCAACATGTGTCCATTGTGACGCTGACCACCGGGCTTAATCCAAGACACTGTTGGTGCGGGAACTCCAGATACTTGACATGATAGGGTCACATTGTGACCTTCAGTTATATTCTGATCTTGTGTTATTTGGGTGATTGAAGAAGGTACTGCAAAAGAAAAGTGAGAATGTAGAAGAATTTTGAAAGTAGCCAGTGAACAGCTTGTACACTTCAACACCTGCATCATTTCATTCCCAACATACAATGTACGTGTAATTCCCTTCGACTTAATTGTTAACTGCAAACATCGAGGTAATTAAGATCATGCAAGTATCCACCAGATGGATAAATTGTAGAAACCTAAAAAACATTAGCGATTAATTATGAGACCCAACAGTATTATGCGTGCACATTTCCATAGTAACCACGATAAGTAGAGTAAGTAAGTAAGTAAAGTAGAGTAAGTTAGTAAGTAAGTAACTTTATTTCAACTCGGGTTGACGAGGCTGATTAGGCCCCAAGCAGTACATGCTAATATGCCGAGAAAAGTAAAATAAACCAACGCAAAATTGAAAAAATGACAAATGACTAACTTTCTAATTACTTTAAGTAAGTAAACAATCTTAACTCTTAAAAATTAAAACAGTGAGTAGATCTTGTTAGACTATACATTGCAAATGTAGCTCTCTTACAGAATTCCTAAATTCCTAGAACTGTCGTTGAGCGTAGTTCATCCGGTAAGGAATTCCACACTTTGGCACCAATTAGAGATGTAGACTTTGAGCCAAAGTTTGAAGTATTCTTACGTGGGATGAGGAGCTTGTTGGCGCCTCTTAAGTTTTTCACATTATTTCGTACGATAAACAAGTCGCATATATATTCCGGTAACATGCCATTTACAGCTTTAAAAATCAGCACAGCAATTTCCGGTAGTCGTCAATTCGACAAAGTTAAACCGTAGTCATCATTGCCATAAAGGGGCACCCGTTTGTTGTAGACACACTTAGAGCTCTCGCATTAAGCCTTTCCAGCTTCTGATTATCAGAACCTTTACAGTTGAGCCAAATAGCAGAACAGTAAGTGAAGTAAGACATCATGTAAGAGTTGTAGAGGCACATTTTCGAGGAGATTGATGGCATGTTCTCTAGTCTGGTCTAAACGTCTGACTGCTTTCCAACTTTCTTATTAACCTTGGCAACGTGTTTGCTCAAATTTAGCGAGTTATCGATAGTTACACCTAAAATATGTAAATGGTCTACGATTGTTACCTGCACATCATTGACACTAAAGGAAAGATCACTAAGAGAGCTTTCCGGAAGAATAATACATTTACATTTCTCGGGGCCGAGCACTAGCTTATTATCATCAAACCAATGACTCGCGACAGCGAGATCGCCATCGATTACGGACTTTACCACCTCAGGATCGCGATCGCTGACAAAAAACTTAGTTATCATCGGCGTAGTTGGACAAATCAGCACGATTAATAAAATAGAACATATAGTTAAGAAAAATATTAAAAAGGAGGGGCCCTGAAACCGATCCCTAGGCTACACCCTTGGAGAAAACAACAACCTCCGAAGTAATATCTTCTATCCTCACGCGCTGGGACGTGTCTCTAAGGTAACTGTGTAAGAGGGCCAGGCTAAGTGGAAAAACGCCATAGGCAGCCAGCCTGGCAAGGAGGAGGTCGCGCGATATCTTATCATAAGCTTTACTTAGATCCACAGAGACTGCGCCAACAAAACATTTGTTTTCGAGAGCATTCCTCCAGTCCTCAATCAAACTTAGAGGTACTCCCTCAAAGCTGTAATTCCTTCTATACGCAGACAGGAACGGTGACAATATCGATCTAAAATAATCAGAGAGTTGGCGTGCAAGACACTTCTAAAAAACTTTATCCAGAGTAACTAGAATCGACGCTGGCCGGTAGTTAGATTTATTACGAGGATTGTCCTTTTTGAAGATGGGGCAGATTTCAACAAGCTTCCAACCAGCAGGCACAAAGTCAGAGTCAATGATCTTGTTGATAAGAACACATAGCGGATAGGCAAGAGCATCACCACCATCCCGCTATATTCTTAGCGGTATCTTGCCTTTTTCGATCAAGCGACCTAAGTATAAATTCGACTTCAAGTGGACTTAGAGAACAAAACTGAAAAGCTTCTCTCGCAGAGCAGTGTGTCTGTATGGCCGAGATACTTGGATGACTGGAGTTATCATTTTAACGCCCATGACTATCGATGTCCTTCGGAAAGGATGAAAAATGTGCACTGAAAATTTGTGCAATTTCCAGTTTATTGACAATAAGACTGTCACCCTCTTTAAGATGAATGGAATCCCGGCTGATGTTTTTCTTTGAGTGCATGAAAGGCTTGACCGTTTGCCAAAATTTTTTGGGTTTACATTTGGCGTTTACGGCGGTGGTACGAAAATAGTCGGATACAGCCTTATGTCTCAATGAAGATGTGAGGTTTCGCCAGGTCTTGTATCTGTCCCAATCCAGCCGGCGCTTAAACTCGTTGTAAAGGCGCTTTAATTTATTGCGTTTCCTAATTGCCTCAAGTAACTCAGGTGTCCTAAATGGCACGTGTTCACCATTTTCTGTTTTACGTTTAATTGACGCGCGGTCGTTAAGAATATCACATAACTATTAACTCCAAGCCCAGTAGATGTCATCAATGTCTTCAATGCGACGTCAAATGGAGTCGAATGCAAGTCTTCGCGAAATCGCTTGGGATCGTAATTCTTAAAAAACGTCTTTCGACGGTTATAGGACAAGACCTAGGATAGTGTGACCTGCTGACAGCATATACCAGGTGATAGTCACTTAAGCCCAAATCGAAAATGCTAAACGTTAAAAAAGACCGAGGTCTATTTGTCAGGATCACGTCAATAAGAGAACTAGACGTTGCAGTCACTCTAGTAGGCTCCCTGATCAAGTTGGTCGAGTTGTATTCATTCATTGAGTCCCGTAAGGTTCTTCCCTCCCTAAATCCCTTGTTCGGATGGGATATATCACAATTTAAATCACGTACGATTGCTAAGTTGTCATAACGCTTAAAACCGTTAAAAGCATGGAGTTAAACTCCGGTTCCCACAGATTTTTAGTTACATTTGGTGGCTCATAAGTGTACAGAAACAGTGTCCATTTTGATGACCTCCCGGGCTGTACTAGCAGAACAATAGATTCGATGTAATTGCCTTCCAAATGAGTAATTCTTCGTGTAATAGGCCTCTTCTAATATAAACTATGAGACTTCCTCCAAATCGATTACGATCTTTACAGAACATCTTGTACTCTTTGATACAGAACTGTGAACTGGGGAAAGCTCCATCTATCTTTGTCTCAGCAAGTATAAAAACATCAAAAACACCCTTGAGTATCATTGACTTCACTTTGAATCATTTAAAGCTAGCCACAAAATTCATATTTAGATATGCGATTCTTAAATTGCAGGGTAAAGCGTTTTAAAATCGCACTGAGGTCAGAGACTTGCGCACTTAGAGCAACAGGAGATTCCTTCACATTACTAATGTCAGGAGCGTCAACTCTAACCTCTACATCGTCAAAAACATCAGAAAAAGGAAGCTCTTTCAAAAGTTGACAACTAAGGCAAAGACTAATTGAGCCAGAGAGTGACAGGGAAAGACCTGAGCAAGACTTGAGTTGACTTGATGTTGCTTGGAGCGACTCTATGATTGTTAGTTAGCGTTTTGAAACGCACGGTGCGGTTTACTGAAGGTTTCTGCTTTTGCGAGGTCGAGGATTAGGACTGACGTCGCCGCTTCTTTGCAGTCTCTCTAATTGAAACGGCCAATTGAAAAGTAGCCTTGGTTGTGTGTCTCAGCCTAGTAACTAGATAATTTGTCCTACGGCAGGTGGCGAAACCAAAGAGCCGGATAGCGATGAAGCGTGATATGGTTAAAATTCGTCCTTGCCATGTGCTATCGGTGTTGAAACAACCCTCCGAGTCGCCCTGAGACGTTAACTGATAACTTGGCGAAAATTGAATATCGTTAGGTAGAGTCACGACGCCAGAAAGAAAAAAAAAACCAAATAAAAATGGAGGCCGAAGATAATACACGATTATTCACCATAACGGTCAGCGGTTACAATGCTACATGTGGTAGATGTTTGAGGCCAACAACCCTTTCCTGAGAGAAAAGGCTTATCATAAACAGCAATCTACTATGAATATTATAATGGGATGCAACTTTGTAAACATTCCCATAAAGTTTAAGTTCACATGTAGTCTCATCATTCATTAATCATCCTCCCTAGGTGTCCATGTTTTTCTACAACAGAGAGTGTGTACACTCATGAACGTGCGCTGTATGTGTGTATGGCTTATGGGAAGGTTTAAACTAGCACTAGTTTGGGTTAACATCTATCTATCTATCTAATATCTATTGCTCTAACGAAGGGCTAACGCTCGAAACGTCAGCTTTTTTACCCTTTTTCAACTTTCTACGTTTTCAGCTCAGTTGTTAACATTAAATTACCTGCTGTACTCTCCCACCGACGCAGCACCACAGTTTCTTTAGAAACTTACCCCCTTTACTAGTTTGGGTTAGTTTGCTTACCATTCGCAGCGACAGTAACACTCATGCTGTATTCTGATCCTATAGAGTTATTGGTCACGCATTTGTAGACAAACACTCCTTCACTTTCCAAAGTCTTTCTCCACACCCCCGAGGCACTTGTGTTTAAAATGGCAGTTTCGTTCTCAAAGAGCTGGTATGACGTCACTCCTGGATTAGCGTTAACAGAGCAGTTAAAGCTGATGATTTCTCCCGTACATGCTTTGTCGTCCATGGCAGAACTCATTAACTGAACATTCTCTGGTTTGTCTAGGATAGAAGAAAGAAACAATTAGGTGTCACTCAGAGTTCTTCAAAATCGTTGGGGAAAATGTTTTATCACATACATTGCAGATTTTTACAACCATTTCGAGCCCTCGGGAAAGCTGTAACTGAACATGACTGTGTAAATTTACAATAACTTTTACGTGTTTGATATTGCCAATCAGCTGCCAATACATCACTTCCCTTTCGCCCCATTCTCTCAGGTAACTAAATAACTGACAAAGCATTCACAATTCTCAATGCAAGGTTGTACTTCGAATTTTTTTAATTATGGTTGCTAACCAAACTGAGATGTTAAGATAAGAGACAAAATACTGCATGGCTTCTTATGGTTATTAAAATTTTTCTTCTCATTTGGACCGCGATATATCAAGTTAAACACTTCAAAAGAAATTCTATATCTAGTGTTATTTTCTACTCAATTTCCAATGTAGAAAAACAATGCAGCCTCCCAAGTGTTTTATTACTCTTTATTAATTTCAAAACAAGCTTAAGAAAAGTGAGAGGAATACCTCACAGCTCGGGAATCTAGCAACTCACACTTAGCAAAGAGTGGAAAATGGGCCACAAGATGAACACTCTAGACTTTAATGCATATTTTTACTTGATGATTATTAAATAAATAATAATAATAATAATCACTTACAGAGCACAGTGAGGAAAGTGCTGGCAGAGCTATTTCCACAGTCATTTGTAGCTTCACATTTGTATTCACCAGCATTATTCCTGCTGATGTTTGTAAGATAACGCACGACTCCACTGGACTGACTACGGCTGCTTACTTCTGTCCATGTTACAGTCAGCACAGGACTTCCAGAAACATAACAGGTGAAAGTCCTGTTTTCACCCTCAATCACTGTGATGTTCTCCAATGGATAAACTATAGAGGGCACTGAGAAGAAAAAAAGATAACAAAAGATTACTACGTGTTTATGAACCTAGACACTTATCAAATTTTCATTTTTCTTAATGCATTTGCATAACCCGAAAGCATTCCTATAAGAAATAAGGAGATTGTACTGCTTTAGCTCGTCTCATAAGTAGAAAGTTATTCTTTATGGATTCACGGTTAGTACTTTTACTAGTACATCATTAGATCCAGTAAATAACAGAGAAATTAATTCAAATTAAATGTAATATCAAAATTTCTGCCTATGACTTTTGAGATAACATGTAACTTTTCCCAGGACTGAGACATGTTTTAATTTCTCTTTCATTCATCAGGGTTTTCAGTAAGTACTGGCTTCCAGCTAAATATACTAGCTAAGAAAAATGTGACTTCTAGTAAGTACTGTACAAGCGCTGAGATTGGGAAAGCTGTGCGCTATGGGAATATAGCATGCAAATAAAGGAAATGGCATATAATTAAGAAAAACCACTAAAACAGGGACTAAGCTGCGTCCGAGTTATCGTGAGTGAAAATAAATGTATCTTTTGGACTAAAATTTCAACAAAAATCACCAATAGGGCACTTCCGAGTTCTCGCGGTTCAGTGATCTAGAGCCAAAATTACCGCGCAAAAACGAGGCTAAGTGTGAAGTCGCTCTCATCCGTGTTAATAATTAAGTACCGCGGTGGTGAAAATGAGAGAAAATTTGTCGAAATTCATTGTGGGAGAGTGAAAAATTATTTGTGTGAGAGAGGCACTCAGCTAAGTAATGACAGCAAAGGGAAAAAAAGGAGAACTTTTCGATTTATGCCAGAAAGCTGCAACAATGAAAATAGCCTTCTGCCAAAGAATACAAAAGGCTGTTCAAGGAGAAATTATAAACAAGTGAGGGCAAGTTTCCAGTCCAAAAAAATTTTTATTGCTTGGACTTATCATCTCCCATTTCTCTCTCATTTTAACCACTACTGCACTTAATTCTTTACACAGTTGACTTCACACTTAGCCTCGTCCTCGCCCCGTAATTTCGGCACCAGATCACTGAACGGCAAGAACTCATAAGTAGCAACCACCAGATAAAGAAAAAGAAGAACATGAACAAAATTTCTTGATTGTTGGTCCAATTCTCTTTTCCTCTCCTACAGTTCCATAATTTAAGTCTAACCATTAACTTTGCATTTGGAAGTTTGGTGATGAACTTTAAGTGATCCGAGACGTTATTTTCAACATGGAAGTTTTTACATATGAATATTTCAGCTCACTTCGAATGAGAGACGTTTCTCAGCTGAGCGATACACTGAGATTCTTCACTCTCTTTCCCTTAATCGACCAGCAAGCATACTTGTCAATTTGGCAAATAAAAGTGTTGCACACGTACAGTATCATTAGACTCACTAGAATTTCATGTAGCATAATATGGAATGTGAATGGGGTGACCAAATTTTTTCCTTTTTTATGGCGACCATTTTTCAATTAGAGCCCTGAATAGGATGGAGTCTAGATAGTCATCTATTTACAGTTAAAGAAACAGGATTGTTTCAACAGAGTAAGAATACAAAAGCCTTCATAAGACAAAACTGTAAAGTGCAGTGATTGCTCTCCACCTGAAGTGGACAGGTGTTGAGCTTTTTTTACTTACATGTGACACCTACATGTACTGATGTTAAACTATATTTTCGTTGTAATGTAAACTACAAGAACCTGTGGAACTAATACACAATATCAAAAACAACCTCACCAACAAAAATACCCATGTGTCGTTCATACTTGAAGTTGAATACGCAATACACAACATTACGGGAAAAATGGTATTAAAGCATCATCCCCTACACCAGTATTCATTTACCATATGTAGGCTGATGGCTGTAACAGGTAAAAACTACCTTCTAACACTGTACCTTTTACTGTAACATTTACAGTCTTCTTAGCTGTACCAACAGTGTTATTAGCCACACATCTGTAGCTAAATTCTCCTCCTTTTAAATCTTTTCTTATCCATACCCCAGCTGAGCTGTTTCCATCATTAACTGATCTTTCATTCTCAAATAGTTGATAAGTATGCACTGCAGGTTTACCATCTGCTGAGCAGGTGATACTGATAGCATCACCTTTACAAACAACCGAGTCATTCACCATTAACTTGACATTCTCTGGTATATCTAAAGAGAGGAAAACAACAATATTTGATCATGCATCAGTATCAGAGCATGTGACGTTGTACATCATTTCGCAAGAGCGAAACATTTTTCAGTCTAGTGCAATGCCATGGACGACTGATTCCTTCTCCTTTCCTTTCTTTTTTCTTTTCTTTTTTTTTTATTCTGACTTGCAGCTTTTTTTAAAATCATTTATTCTCCCTGAATCTAACAAAAGCCTATGCTGAGCTGTATGGCTTTTTAAGGCCCTGCTCGCATCATCACAAAGTATTTCAATAAAAGTGCCCACATGACTATACCACTCATACAAAAGTTAATATTTACTTATATTTTTTGTTTGTGGTTGATTTACACTTTTTTTCCATTTTGGAGTTTTATTTTGCATTATTTTTACCTACTATGACAATCAATCCTACATTCTATGAAAAATAAAAACCAGCCACAGGTACAATATACAGTTATATACTTACAATTAACTTCTACTTTCACTGTACGATTTGGTGCAGTTCCCATTCCATTATATGCTGTACAACGATATTTTCCACTGTTATTTCTGTTGGTTTCAAGGACAAACTGATTCCCAGTTCCCAGTGCAACACTGTCACTGCCATGAGCATATACTTTGGTCCAGGTGATGGTTGGTGTTGGTTCACCATCTGCGATACACTCTAAAGTAATACTGGGGTCACCTTCCACAACAACTACATCACTACTTACGTTGTTGAATTCTGGTGGATCTGTTAAAGAATTAAAGACAAACAAACAACTTTGCACACTATCCGCAATATACTCCAATATGACACTTGGGTCACCTTCAATAACAACTACATCTCTTCTGATTGAACTGAACTCTGGTGGATCTGTTTAGAAGTGACAATAACATCTTTTAGTTAAACACGGTGGGTTTTAAAGCTAATATGGCTTATGAGACCGTGTAAAAAATGTTAATCAAATAATGAAAATAAAAATACAAATAAAAAATTAAGATTAATAAAACTGAATGCATTCAATAAAAAGTGGAATATGTACAATAAATGATATGAATATGGTCAATAAAAGGCGAAATCCCTGTCAATTTGGGGACGGTCCATTTGCGGTGACTCTTTATTAAAGTTCAAGCTTCTGAGGGCGTGAGACGTTTTTGCCCTTGTGGCGTAGTCCCTGGCGCAGACAGCGGAAGGTTCTAAAATATTCCAAACAATGGATCCTCTGCGAGAAATAGAATTTTTCACATAAGTTTCAAAACGTTGTGCCCTAAGACGATGTTGATGACGGAGGTCATACTTATGCTCTTACCTTTGGATTATATGTTCCAAGCATGGTGGAGTTACGCGGTTGTAGATATTATAAATTAAGGTGGCTATTTTGACCTTATAAGTGTCGAATAAAAAGTCCCAGTAAGCTGTTTTTCTTACATCCTCAGAAGGCATGTCGCGCGGGAGGTTATATATAACTCTGGCGGCCCTACAATGTATTGGTTCCAGAGAATTAAATTCGTTTTTGTTTGTACAACACCCCCAAATTGGTAGCGCATATGTAACTGAGGATAAAATGACTTTCAAATAGAGATCTAAAAGCGAATTCCTGGGTGAAAAGCGGCCGCGTTTGATCAAATTGAGCTTTTTAACGAACCCTCTCTTGAACTCTGACATGTGTTTTGACCACGTAAGCTTGTAGTCAATGGTTACACCAAACATTTTAGAACTTAAGGACCAATTTATGAGATGCTGGCTAATTTTTAAACTGCCTAAGGGACCGATAAGATGATTTCGTTTAAGGATCATTCCCTCGCACTTTTTGGAGTGTGGTACTAGGGAGTTATGTTTGCACTAGAGGGCGAGTTCTTCTGGAGCTTTGTTCAGCGTTGTTGTGACCTGGTCTACAGATTTACCAACACAGTACATGGTAGTATCATCGGCATACATGAACGTCGTTGCTTTCGGTAGATCGCTTGTATACAAGGCGAAGAGTATGGGCCCGAGTACGGAGCCCTGTGGTATACTGTGGTCAACTTTGGTATTCTCAGAGGGTACGCCATTGATTACAGTATACTGTTCCCGTTCAACCTTGCCAATAAGTTTCCCGTGATTCCAAAGTTGTGCTCCAGCTTGGGGAGAAGGATTGAGTGTGAAACGCAATCAAACGCCTTCTGGAAGTCGATGAATACGGCGCCCACAACTAATTTGTTATCTATTGCTCGTCGCCAAGTTTCAGTCAGGTGGATGAGTAATAGCTCTGTCGATCTTCCTTTTCGGTAGGCCCATTGGTTGTCAGTGACGAGCGCTTCGTTTTCCGAGAAAACATGTTTCTTAATCATGTCCGCTACACATGATTCTGAAATCTTGCTGGGTACGTTTAGCAAGGAGAGGGAACGATAATTACTCATTTCCGTGGCATCATCTTATTTGAATACAGGTGTTAATCTAGCCACTTTCCATTTACTGTAGACTCTACATTCGCGTATAATAATTTAGGTGATAAACCATCCAGTCCGATGGCTTTGTTATTCTTCAATAATGTTATTTTCCTGTCAATATCAAGGCTAGATAAATTAATATCGGATATGCATGATACATATATGGATCATGGACTGGTCAGGAGTTGTGGTGCTTGCAGTTGTCCAGAATTTAATTTCTTAGCTATCTTAGAGAAGAAACAGTTCATAGGACTCGCCTTCTCCGTGTCTTTTACCGCTAAGCTGTTGTCGTCACGCTTTAATAGACCTATCTTCTTCCTTACTTTGAGGTTGGTAGCTTTGGATAATACATTCCAATACGTCCTGTAAATTAGTGAAGAAATTTGACGAGTATAGTTCAGATCTGTAAATCACTGAAAACAGTAAATTAGTGGTTGGAAATTTGGCTTGAATACAATACACATCCGCCACCTTTACGTTCCTTTCTATCAAGGCGTAAAACCTCGAGGCCGTCGATGTGAATATCACGGTCGGCGTCTGTTGAGTTTAAGTGTGTTTCAGTGATCCCTAGGATGTCGAAGCGGCATATGTTTTGTATCAGTCTAACATCGGCAGAAATATTGGACAAGATGGCGGCCGCGCTTGCGCATGTCGTCCATAATGGCGTCCAAATAATATAAGAAACTGTATGGAAATTTGTAAAATTTCTAAGATATAACAATCAGGAGCTCATGGTCCCGTCTGCTCTCGATCGAGACATATTCAGCACTGATTCTGCTATTCATCAAACCTCACAGGGACTCGATGAATAAAAACCACTTACTTCCCGAGCCAGTTCTTTTGTCATTGATTATTGACCTAGGTCGCCATACAGTTCTTCAAAATCCGTCGTTCTCCGTCCCAAACACTCGCCTGTTACAGGAAAGTGCATCAATAAAGTCAACTGCTTTCGATCGAATTGACTGCTACAGAGTTCGAAGCGTCCAAATATCCTGTAAAATTGCCATTTCCTCCCATCAAAAAAGTTCCCAACGCGCCAGAATATCCCTTATTTTCCATGTTGAGTAAGTGACGAGACGCCATGTTGAAAACGATGACTGAAATAGTTAAACACGAGCAACGCTGATCTTCGAATCGTCGGCCATATTTGTTTATGTTCTTGCAGGGAAATAAATTAGTTCTCGGTCCTCTTCGGAATAAAAATATTCCAGGCATTGAATGCAAATTCAGTAGTCTTAGCGCGAAAATTAAATTAAAGCAAATCAAAATTCTAACATCATGTCATCGCTCTGCCTCGAAAAATCCCAAAGATTTACTTGCAGGTCTACTTTTCTTTTTCTTTTCATCAAATAGAAGATCTGCGGTGCTCAAATTGTATCAGTCATGGTACGAAACACCCTTCTTTGCAGATCGAGCCGTGATCGCCGGCATATTGAATTCTCTTGATATTGTATTGTTCAAGAGTGTAATACGATATATCGCTGATAATTGTCAGCGGGCTCGAAATGTCCTTGATTTCTGCGATGAGTTCATCAGTTTTGTTACGCAAGTTACAGATATTCAGATGACCAACACGAATATCTTCTGGGGCGGCATTGAGCTCGTTTGTCATATTGTACAAATCATCTGCGTTAGTCGCCAACTCAGCAGTCAAGTCTCCGATTGAGTCCTGATGGTTGTCGCCAAACAGCGAGGAAAACGATTCATCGGTAGTATGGCTGAATGGTTTTGAGGGTTGGTCCAGGGTTCTCGCTAACATCTCCGCTTATTACCACTCACACTAGTTGGAAAGTAGAATCTGACTTCGCGTAGCGGCTAACCCGTGCTCTATAATAGCCTGTCACCTTGCTTAAACTTCCAACATGGCGCCGGCAGTTTGTAAGCCGATAGTAACACGGGTCTGTATATCTTCACTGAAGTGTCGATATGATGTAATCTCTGGCTCAGGCAAGGTTGTGTTGGTTGATTCATCGTCTGAAGGTTATTTTTTCGTGCTTCTGACAAGCAGTACGATTAAAATAAGCTTAAAGCAGCAACAAACGCAGCCGTTTCCGTTAGCCACGACGAACGGTTATGATAAATCATCCCACAGTAAAAATTTGAAAAATTGGACCAATCTGCCCAAAACTTAAATGCATTTGAAGTTCCAGGTTGGTTATTGCTTTGACATGGACTTTTGACCAAAAAGTGGCCTATGTTTTTGTCATGTCTGAATGAAATTAGCGGAGATTGCGCAAAGATATTACTTTAGTGCTACATTCCTAGGCTACCCGGAAAATAGCAGCAGTTTGCGTCAAGAATGAATGAAATTAAATATCTAACAACAAAGCAAGATTCACCTTCACGGAGTAATTTCAATATTTCAATCTACAACAGATAGAAACAGTAACGATAATATTCATGAAACTTTTAGCGGTTTACTTACACTGTACTAGAACAGTCGTTTTGTCTCTGGCAAGATCAAAATTACGGTTGGTCACTTCAATTTCGTATTCTCCACTCTCAGATCTCTGTAATTCAAAGATTGTAATTTCTGATCGTGTAGTATTGATGTTTTCTTGAATGCGACCCTGGTAAACACCTTTTGGAACCGCTGCGTCGAAGTTTATGTCATGTTTGATCACAACGACGCGGGAGGGAGAGCTGCTGACGAACCGAAAGAGAACTCTGTCAAACGTTCCACTAAGGTTGTACTGCCACACAAAGGTGATATTATTGCCTTCCAAAACATACAACGGATTTGGAGGAGTTGCTGTAAATCTTGGTAATAATTCTACAAAACAAAACAAAAAAATTATGTAAACAGCACAGATCCTTCAACCAGTTTCGAAATATGACCCGACAGTCCAGCGCGAAGCTGTTTTTCGCGCCAAAGGATACGCTTGCTGAGTAAAGATGAGCTCGTGTACCTACCTGCCTTACGAATAAACAAACCAAGCATAAGAATATGATAGAAACTTTAGATATGACTAGAAACATCGCAATTTCTGCGCGGTGAAGGCGAACCGCGCCTCAAGATGCGACGGAAGGGAAGTAAAGGAATAATATGCAAACGTTATATTTAGTGGCCCACGAAATGTGAACCAGCGGCTACGTCGCGTTTGCTTCTTCTGCCTTCACCACTTCACGTCTCATCATCTATTAGATATGGAACATGCGGGAAGTTGGGTCTGTTGGAAGGGTACGAAACATGCGTAAGAGTTGCCCGAGGCGTAGCCGAGAACAAAAGTCTAACTTCTTCAATTCAATCCAAATTATCCAAATGCTTCATATCTCGATAAATGCAAAGCTGATGAATGAATAGATACATTTCTTACAGTTTAAATATTTATTTTTCATAAATCAAACTATTTGGAGAAACAATTTGCATTAGCTCTTAATAAGTCGGCTCTTTCGAAAACATGCTCAAATAAAACAAGAACAGTTCAATAGCTTACCAGAGAAACATATGCACCCGAAATTAGACATAAGATCGAAAAAAATTATCAAGACTGAAATATGTCGAGACAGATGAGTGGCAGATACGCTGTTAGAAGCGGAAAGCGTACAGATCTCCCGGATTGGAACCCGCGCTATAGGTTCACATACTTGAACGCTGGTTACCACGCATCACGGCCAGAAAACTGCGTAGCGTTGTGTTGAAAGTGTTGAAAGTTACTGGATTCATTTTTAAAATCTTCCCATGAACAATACTTTGCGTATCAAAAACTATAAAAAAATATTTACCGACCCATAGAACAGATCTGGAGGATTTGCTGTAAATGATGGTGCTAATTCTACGAAGGAAACGTTTTTTAAAAGTAAGGAAAACCCCCTAGATTTGGACCCCTCGGTCCACATCCGCTAACGGATATGAACCCCCCAACAAAACTGAGTGAAAACATCATTCTTAACGTTCTAGTAAAAATGGATGATACTTTACATTCCTGTGCGTACTGAAGTATGTTTTTAAAACAAAACATGCGTATCGTTAAGGCATACGAACTGGCATCCCGTCGGATGTTTCTTTTGACCAAGGGAAAATGGGCAAGAATTTAGTTTAATGTCTGGAGAGGTCGTAACATTATGGAAACAAATTTGCAGAAAGGAGGGTAAGTTCATCGAGTTCCGTTGCCTCTTCATGACCTGATATTTCAACGTAAATTATCGAGAAGGCGCCTATCGATCACCTTTGTCTACTTTGTAAGTCACGCAAGCGCGCAAGCGTTACGACCGATCACGTTTACCCAACGTTTTAGGACAATTCGGCATCTAATTTTCATTCAGTTGCTGTGAAAACCTAAAATCCTCAACGTAGAAGATAAACAAAGTTTGAACGGTCAAAAGGAGATCTTGGTCAATTTTAAGAATTACGCAAATGATCTTTAACTTGAACGCAATTGAGCAAACACATGGATTTGCGCTGTTTTTAAGAAGTTGGGGGATGGAAGGTAGAGATATACCCGCGGGTTTGAGGCAACCGTGACTTCATCGGTGTATAAACTATGCACTGATATGCTTTTTCAGTCCGATGAACGCCTGCATTTTGAGAATTCTTTCGTACAAAGTGGTGAATTTTTGATATGCAAACGAAGGTCGAAGAGGAGGGTCTCCTGTGATCACGCTGGTATGAAAAATAATTCAGGTGAAGTTTCCATATTTTGTCTGTGAACTAACTGAATACATCTTGTAACTTGTAGCAAGACAGAATTCCGTGAGTTACATTGTTATAGTCGCTGCGCGCTGGACAAAATCTTTGAAATTTACACTTTCGATCGCTGTCCACAGGGGTGGTCTGGCCAAAAATCATTTTTTGGCTTGTGGCGACGCAAAAAGAGAGAATTGGACAACAACTAAATATTTTTAAAATATGTGTCCTAAACACTTTTCATGGGCAAAAAATAAAAGAAACTTTTTTCCGACGGGAAGTCGAGAGGACCGCTCTTAGCGAGAGCGGCACTTACGTCCCAAAGCACTCAGCCATCCTTCCTTACACGTGTTTAGACTACAACCAGGATTAAACTTAAAGGGAATCTCGCAAGCAGACTCGGCGTTTCATAATTCAACTGCATGAGGTTCAAAACATTGTTATGACTACTGCAGGAAGTTCCGGGATCGGAATGTATGGAAAAAACATCAACGGTAAGGGCTGTCATCGTTGAAATTATGCTTTAAGACTCTTAAGAAGTATTTTACTACATCTTTTCCATGTTGATGGAATGTACGGTACATTTTCGGAACTCTGGTTTCTTTGACGTTTTCTTATTTTATGGAAAGGAAGATTTAAAATTCTCTCGGACGTTTCTCCGTAAATGCATGATTTCTCCAACCATGCAAATGGAACTGTCGTTTACTCCACCTGACAGTCACGCCATCTGTTGATACATGTATGCCATGTACGCTGTGACTAAATGCCCTGCAGCCGAGCACGGTCTCAAATAAACTAAATGCCCGGCAGTTAAACATTTTCACGCAATTTCCGCCGAAAGGTTCTTTCAAACTTCTTAAGAATATCAAATGTTTGTTAAGGAATGCCAACCGAATCTAAAAATGTATTTGGTTTTTTAAGGGACAAATTCTCCGAGCTTGTGCATACTATAAAATCGCTCCGTTGTCGACAACTTGGAAATTTTACGCTTCTGATCAGACTGCTGAGCACGGTCTCAAATGGACTAAGTGCCCGGCAGTTGTTTTTCTTCGTTTGCCCACCTTTCCCTTTAAAGGTGTTTTCATTTTCCTTCAAGAATACTTTGACGATAAAACACCCTTTTGAATTTAGCGGGCCGTACAATGTCTCTTTCTTCTGCTGAAGGAATTCACTAAGAACGAAGCGGACACTCATCTTTGTTTTGTGACAACTTTGTGTGCGGTGATTACACGTATATTTCGCATGACTCCTTTGGAGAGAGAAAGAGGAAATTTAAATTTTAAAAGGGCTGTTGTATGTGTTGATGAACAACAGTTCGAAAACCTTAGCGGAAGTTATCTTCACAGAAAAGTCACTTACATCTAGTTTTCCCTTTTGTCAGAGAAGCTACAGCGAGGTTTTTACTTCTTAATTGATACGTGGTACACATACTTTTGTCCGCTAACGCATATGATTTAAACCATTAACGATTGGTTTAAGGAGAAAAATATGCCAAATCGATGCGCCGGTCGAAAAATTAAAACTAAGAGGGCGATAGAAATGATTCTGGGTAGCAGAGTCTATTGTCATCCATTTCTTATTAGTATTTCATTGCAGAGGTCATCAACAACACAATTTATGTAAGACATCAAGGACTGCGCCAACAACAAAGCAACGATCGATCACGTCACGCACGCGTGATTTTCCGAAAACTTTGGCTTAAAAGCTGGCATAAAAATTACAATGCTATCGTGAAAAACAAATCGACGTTAATATTCCATTAAGGTCTATAACTTTATTTTTCATGAAAATGACGTCAACGTAAAGGAATCACGAGGCACAGCTGAGTGGGTTCAATTTAGTTTCAGACATCATTTCTTTGATCATTACGTTTATAGAAAATGAAAAATTGTGTTCGATTTGTTCACCTGGGTTGTAAATAAATTAATTGAGACAAGCGTTCCAAGTTTCTCTGCTCGTGCAACCAGTTTCTAGGGATGTAACATTTCAATTGCCGTCGATTATTATATCTCGGGAAGTAGATTAGCTTGTTTTCATGAGAGCCTCGTTCACTTTGAGCTGTAGAACAAACAAAAATCGGCAAGACACGTCTTGACGCATACTGTTATATCTCGGTTATGGATTATTTTCTTTCAGTTCTCTTTCCAAATCTACAATTATGTTTATCTATGGCATATATCTCATCATACCTGCACAAGGGACAAATAGTAAGGATGGAATCAGCGCACTGACAATAGGTGCGATCCAATTCTTCATGGTAAGCTAAGATTATTTACTGCTCACCCCAGTAAAAGTTGATATATTTAGCTTATGATTTGCTTTATCACTATGCATGTCAAAAGGTCAACTTTAAAAAAAAAATAGAAAAAAAAACATATCGTCTCCTGTCCAGCTGTAAAAGAAGGGGCATTGTTCCTTCGCTCTGTGTTTAGGAAGCCTTTCAAAAAAAAAAGGATAAATTCAGCACATTTTTCGCTTTTTTGGGCCATGTCATTAAGTGTTATATTCCGTAAGTTTTCAAGCAAAAGCACATTACTTAATCAAGTAAAATATGCACCCTTTATCTAGACCCGTTCCTACGTGGCATTCTAAGCCAACAACTCGAAAACGACTTCGAAATTTTCGAGCGCTGGTTATACCGTAAATTTCAAGTCCTCCTTAGGTTACAATCTACACGGACTTAGATGATCATGTTATTATGTTTATCCAATGCTATTACGTCAGCAATACTGAAGTTTCGCAATGGAAGGAAAATTCACTCACTCATTTACTCGATTTTGATCTGTTAGAGAGTTAATTCATACATTAAAACTTGGATCTAAAGTATTATCGCTGGCTCCTCTACTAAGTTTGCTTCTATCACTCAAGTACAACATTTGATAATTTTCCATTTGTGCAAAGCTAAGCATTTGTCACTCAAGTCATGCATGCTAAAATATCTTATTTACATATTGTGTTCTTACTGTTTCTCTTTCCAAATCTGTAATTATCTTTATCTATGGTAAAAATCTCATACTACCTGCACAAGGGACATATTCTAAGGATGGAATCGGAGCATTGACGATTACATTGACGATTGACGATTACATATTTAACTTTGATCCAATTAAGGTTAATGATCAGGACTTAGAGTGTGTAGAGCAAGCAAAGATCTTAGGTTTGCAGATATCTTGCGATCTTACGTGGAATAATCACGTATCCGAAGTTGTAAAGAAAGTAAACAAGCGCCTGTATTTTTTGCGTCAGCTTAAGCGTGCACAGGTCAAGTCGGAGGAACTTTTGCTCTTCTATTTGACTTGTATTAGGCCTGTCACTGAATATGCATGCCCTGTTTATCATCATAGCCTCCCGC